GCATCGGTTAATTGAGATTTGCTGGTCCTACTTTATTTATGTTTTTAGTGCTTGTCAACCCCTCTCAAACAAACGGCGGCGGCCCGATGCGCACCCCGGCCAGCAACTGGCGCCCAACGGCGAATGGAGGCAGCCAGACGTTGGGCCAAGCGCTGGGAGTACGCCCCCAGACGAATGGACAGCGACCGGTAGCCTTTTTCAGCATTTCCCTATCTTTGACAGTTTTCTTGATTTTGCATGCTTGTGATTTCTAGACTTTTGACAATCTGCTTTGTTTTCAGGCTCCCTACCAACAGCCCGCCACCCCAGCCGCCCCTCAAATCACCCCGCAGGAGCGGATGCAACAAATGATGGAGAAGTACTACCTTTCCCTTTGCCAACCCGCCTTCCCGCAACCTGGTAACACCCTTGCTCCTTTCTCTACCTCTACCCATTTTTTAGGTGACGCACCGAACAGTCGCTACAACGCCAACTTCTACTGGGATCAGTGCCAACAGCTGGCCAATCAACTTTGAAGTATCCATCGCCTAATTCCTTCGTATTTTTATATACTCTCTGTGTCCTACAATGCTGTGGCCGTCTGCCACTATCCCCCGTTTTCATGGGTTGTGTAATTTATTCACATTGTTTCGCTTATTTATTCGTCCTTTCCGTTGTACGATCTCGCGGTGAATTCCACCACCAAATAGCCTTACAATCCCAACAATTCGAGTCCCACAGAAAATTGCAATGCTCTGACGCTATTTACGGTCTCTACCTTCCTACGTTTGAAATTTTTCGCCTTACATAAACTGTTTTCCTGATTTAGCACCCATATATGCACAAAGGTTTAATGCCCAGAATTCAGAAACAAACACACAACCGAGCGCTCTGATTTTCGAGGATTTCGATTTCTGGGAATAGGTTGGTTGCTAACAAGTTCTTGTGATTTTACGTTTTAGGGTTCTTTAGGACTTGCGGGGGAAGCAACTTTTCGGTGCAAGCCTAGATTTTTTATGAAAAGCGGATACGTTTGTTCATTGTTTTTAACTATTCCTGGGCATGGAAATTTTACAAATTTCGATTAAAAAATTGTTCGTTGGTGGTCCGAATCAATTTCAGCCATTGATATGTTGTTTTCTAGAAATCCCGCCTTTGTTTACGCGATAAAATGTTAGACAATCCAACGGCCAACAGGGACAGTACGGTAATTACAAAAGGTTTTCTGCACCAATTGCTTTTCTGATTTTGGCGGTCTCGATGGTGGTGGGGGCTTTTCAGAACCAGGAAGTGATTCTTCAGCTTCTAATTGTTGATCCCTTGCACATGTGGGCCGGAAGGTGGGGCGCAGATTTTGTCTTGTCATCGCGTCACAATAATCAACAAATGGTGGGCTTATAATTCTGGTTACGGCGCCAACCAGGCGACATCATGCGCTATTTGGCAATTCTCCTTGTGGTTTTGTTAGGTGTCGTCGTGGCCCAGGTGGGTGGTTGACTTTGGTTTTACGATTCAAGATTTTTGCTTATTTTGATCGTTGCTGAGGAATTTTAAATTGGATTTTCGTTTTACTCGTTTCTATTACGTCTATTCTTTTATCTTTCTACTGGTGGATCTGTTTTATAGAACAAAACTCGATATTTCAAGCAAGAGCTATTTTAAAGTTTAATAATGTCGTTTTGCAGCGCGGCGGATCCGGCCGCGGGCAGCATCAGCAACAGCGATGCTTCTGTAAGTAGATTTATATGTGCTTTTGCAGAATGATGGGTTTTGAAGCGCATTTTTTACAGCTTGCGATCGAAAAGACGCCGGATTCTCGGAGCGTCCATCGAACCCCTGCGAGTTCCAGAGCCGTCACCCCCGGAATCCGATGGTATTCAATTTTTTAGCTAAAATCTAGAATTTTGAACTTGACAAAGAAGCTTTAGAGCGTGTTTATAACACATGTTTTAGCCCGACTGCCACGGGTGCTGCACTTGGTGGGGCCAGCGTGAGGGATGGGTAGGTTGAGAAATACATAGTTTTTGCCTTTTTGCGAAAAATTCCATGCTGATTTTAGAGGCCGACGCAGTGGACGTGGAACCGCAGCAGCCGCGGCGGATGGTGCCAATGCTGCCATCAAAGCGTGTGTCGCGGCTAACAACGACAAGCCCGTTTATAAATATTTTATTCACCAAAAAGCGTCGTTTCATTATGGCAAAATTAAAGCGATTGGAAATCGAAATGTCGAACAACCCTGAGCACCGGAGAACAAAAATATAATTTTTTGAAGGGGCATGGAAGCGGGATTTTTTTTGGGTAATTGGAAATGGAGCTACGGAAAAGCGGAAAAAGAAACCAGGTACACGTAAAATGGCATTATATACATTTTTGGGTATTGAGAGCATGTTAAATTGAGGCTAGAAAATGATGGAAATGGGTTCATTTGATAGGCAAATATTCATAGACGTGATTGTCCACCAAGCATTCACACATCGCCAGCCCGTTCTCGCACTTGCCGGATAGGCGATGGCCGGCGAGGCTAAAATTAGGATTTTTTTATTAAATTTTCCCAAAGCTAGCGACGAATATTCAACACTTCCTGGCACTCTCCCTTTAAAACCTCACTCACCCGCAGCACGATTCCACCCCAACGTATCGACTGAGTGCTGGATGGCAGTGCAGCCAGCACTCGGGCTCCACAAAATATTCGCCCGTTTTGCATTGTCCTGAAAGAAAAATCATTTAAATTTGCAAAATTTGTTGCCTTGCCAGCCCCTTTAAAAGAATGTCATAATTTATGATGACTCATAACCCTAAAAATCCCTCAAATACTTGGAAATCAACAGTTTCTGCCTTGTCAATCCCTTTAAGAACTTTTTGTCACCCTCAAAATACCTCACAAGAAAAAAATTCTGCCTTGCCAGTCCCTTTAAAGTCCTGTTGTTGCCCTTAAAATTCGCCAGATACTTGAAAATCAACATTTTCTTCCTTTCCAATCGCTCTCTAAGTTGCACACTATTTTGTTTGTGCATGCAAAACCTTAGCCAAAAATTGGCCCCATCACGCCAGACTGTTTGAAAAAACGGAACGCCTGTCTGGCCGGGCGCCGATTTTAACACGGGCAATTTATAGCCGTGGAAATCGACAAAAGGGGCGCCTCGCCTTTTTGCCTCGCCGGAACGTGACGGCGCCCAGAAAAAGACGACACCCCCAGCCGAGCAAGCAGCGATGAAAAATGGGAAAAATTGTGCGGAAATTGGGGTAGTTCTTATCAACAGATTAGAGCCTGCGTTCTGCTACTGCTCTCCGTTCCGGTGGTTCAAAAAAGTGGGAAAAACTAGCATTAAGAATAAATATTAGAAAAATCGTTCGAAAAAGCAAGTGAAAAATTTAGGAAATAGTAAAAGATAAATAGATTCACAAGTAAGCTAAAGAAAAGCACTTTCCGGTTTAAAAATTAACGTTTCAACCCTTAAAAAACCCTGAAAGCGTAGGGCCGCTGTCATGCCAGCAAAAAATAATTTTCATACTAACGAAAAATCGTTTAAAAGTAGTTTTAGATCTGATCAAGTTGATTTTTCATACGCTCATTAGAAATGCAAAATTTACGCCGTTTAAAAGTGCCCTAGCATTTCGCAAACTATTGCACTGGAAAGGAAAACTATATATGATTTTCAAAGCATACTTACTCAATTTCGTAAATCCCAATGCGCTAGCAATAAATAGCAGAAATAGACCGAGCAGGATCCGCATTCGTCGATTCAACACACCCCGCCAACCACAATATGTGATGATTGGAACGTGAGATAAATAGAGACAATACAGTACAGTACAGTACAGTTGTCACTTTTCCGAGAAATCCCCGACAACTTCCCGGGCGATGCCCCCCCGACAAGTATATGTATTTGGAGAAGGGGGAGGGGAGGGGTCAGGCTCCCAGAATGGGCACGGGAATCCACAGCCCGACTGTCTCTCTTTTCTCCCGATCGGACCGCAAAAAAAGCACGCAAAAAATGGATGGGCCGCTGGTTCATCACGGAATCCGGTGTTGAACATCTGCGCGAGGGCCCAGCTGTTTCATACAAAACCCCCGGCCCAATTCTTGGCTGATTCATAAAATTAGCCAATAATCCTCTACCTGCAACTACTCATTGAAAAGCCCGACTCCGAATTCTACTTCTAACACTAAATTGCATAATGACGTTTCTTAGAGGAATTCGACAGTTTGTCAAACGACCCTTTCAGGAAAGACGCTTTCCAAAAAAAACTGCTAACTAATCGTGATGATGACTGCGTCATTGGCCAAACTCTTTGGCCAATGCCGAATTAGTCGTACCACTTTCTCAAGAAGCCTTACCGCTTGATCTCTCGCTTCCCAACCCAATCAAAGCACATCGAACGTTGCCGTTTCCCTCCCCCAACTTCAACTGTTTTATTACCGTTCCCCGCGGCTCAACGCTAAACGAGAGATTTCGCGTGGCACCCAAAGATCCCATCTTTCGATTGGCAGCCGATCTGAAAAAAGCGGTGCACCGCACGAACCGTGTCCAAAAAGGAAACGATTCTCAGGTGGGCAGTCATGAGGCCCCTTTTTAGAACCGGGGTCACTGCGACTTTTTGTTCACGTGGCCCGTATCCTCTCCCCAAATGAAACCTTCCTCTTGTTTTTCCAATCCCCCCGAAATGGCCGATTACGTCTCGGCAAGCTGGATGGATTTTGATGGGGCAGCGGAGGGGGTGCGACTCTGATCTCGAATGTGGCATTCCATGGTCAATCGAGGTCGAGCGAAATCACGGCCTTTTCGCGCTCCCCGAGAAGCTCGTAGTCCTAAAAATAGTGGTGAAAAGCCTGAAGCCCCGGGTAAGCAAATGGTGATAATAACATCAAAAAGTTTATTGCGAATCATTGGCGAACAGACAATCGAAAACCATGACTAGAAAAGTCAATAACCGTAATATGAGCACTGTATCATATGAGCAAAAAACAATAAACGACACGCTAATGTGGGGGAATGTGAACGGGGAATTGGCGGCGATCAGGCGGGCTTGTTGTGGGCAGCAGCAATGAGTTGGTCATTTTTCTAAAATAATAGCTTACAGTATATACTCCCAATCTCTACCTCTAATCTCAGCTCAAACTCGGCCAATTCTTTGCTGAGCTGCTTCTTCTTGAACGAGTTGTAGAAGCTGATGCCGCCAATGTTGAAATGGATCTAAACGAATAGTATAGTCTAAACTTTTTATCAAACCACCTTGAACAACTCAAAGCCGGCCCCCAAAGCCAGGCCTGCGCCCAACAGTGCGTAGTTGCGAGAGGCGATAAACGAAAGGAGTTTTGCGGACATCTAAATCGGCCAAGAAATTATCAGAATCCAACAAGCTTACCTTATTTATGCTAGTCTAAATCCGGCCTTGTCGGCTTCGATCAACTCCCTCTCCAACAGCTCGCGTTCTTCCTAAAAACCGGGAACATCTAAAACAGGAAAAAGACGAACCTGTCGAATCGGAGAGACGTATTTGTAGTAGATCAACCCGTTTACCAGGACGAACGAGGTGCCGGCAAGGAGGAATCCGAAGATGGACCGGACGGCCACTAAAAAAAAGTCATTTTCTAGAGAGGATATACACCAACAACGTAAAAAGGAAACAGGCTATTACTGAAAGTTCGTAGCAATAAAAGAAACATAATATCGATAAAACTGACCCTTATGCGCGATGTCGAGTCGTCGATTCGTGAACACTTGGCGGTAGAGCGGACGCCGATCTTCTCTTAGCCTGGCGCCCAAACAAACGAGCGATGTGAGCATCCACTAAAGTTAGTAATAACGAAAATATAAATAGACGATTCGGTTCGAACTTCGATGAAGAACCTATGATATAAGGACCCGTTTTACGCTACAAACCCACGCTGAAAAATCAAGCGTTTGTCTGTAGCAAAGTTCAAGTGCATTTGCTGTAGATAGATTGCTGATAACTCGACAAGCTCCATCAAAATTCGCATAAAAATGACCCATCATTTATCAAAAAGAACCCACACTAGTAACGACATTGCGGTAGAGCACCGGTAAAGCAAAAAAGGGAACGACAGAACTTTACAATTGAAGGTACAGGTAACCGGAAATTGCTAACGAAAAGCAGTTGGGCACAAAACACATATTAATTTAACTAAAAAAACGCACACAGCAGATATGGAATCATGAAGGGCATCAGCAAAAAAGCTACACAGCAAAAGAGACAAAAGTAATTAATTTCATTGGGCAGTCTCGTCATTTGGTCGCCGCGTTGTAAGCATCCATTATCGCTTCTTGGACCACCTAAATCATTGATTATATTTCGAAGAAAAGAAGGTCGACCCAAAAAAAAAAGAAAAATTCCAATTGCTAGATTTTAGCGCAGCACGGCAATTCCGATTTGGTTTTCTAGAAATAGGAGAAACTGGCAAGAATCAATCGAAAGTGAATTGTCGTACTAGCACAGAAAGAGACAGTTGCGCTGCGAAAATCCCTGGTGTATGTGAAAAATCCTTCAAGATTGCCAAATAAGCAAAAAGTGAAGTGTGTTTGAATAGATAAGCAAAAAGCTCTCGTTGGGCCAAACATCAATCACCCGTATCCGTTTCGGGCGACCACGTTTCAAAAACATCTAATAGGAAATGTTGGCGACTATTTTTTCCACGGCAATCACAAAGGACGGGAAGCGCCGTGCGGAGCCAAACCTCGAGCGCCCTGCGTACTTTTGCGTTCTCGAACGTGATGATTTTGCCCGCCGAGCCGCCGATGCCCAAGAACCCGCGCCGTTTCGTCAACAGCTCGATTTTCACGCCCTCGTCGACGTATTTCGGCTCTTTGATCTAAGAGAAGGGTTTTATCTTGAAAACACGATAAAGCTCACCTCAGTGTACCTTGCCGACCAATCGACGGTCCACGTGCCGAGCACATCCGTCCGTTTGGTGATGACCAGTTGTAGGTTGGTGACGAGCAGCACGAGACGATCCGTGATCGGCGCGTAGCAAATGTACTCGTCCGTTTCGGTGAGGAACCCGTGATCAGTGTCCTAGGGGAAAATATCAAGAAGGGGTCTAAAGCTCGCCTTGAAAATGCGATAACCTCGGGAATTGGGCGGGCTGTAGGGGCGGATGATATGGTCAGCCTTGATGTAGCGTGGGTCTCTGACTGGACCAGCGTCCTGGAAAGGAGAAATTTTTATCAGAAGGTCATAAATACCTTATTCGTCCCTGCCACTGTTCGAACAGCGTCCATAGATGACGAAGCAAAGTCGACGACGCCGGAAATCGGGCGAGCGGCCAAACCGACAAGTCCCTAAAATCGCGGTGTCCGGAAAAAAATATACTCTAAAACTGAGGCTTCAAAATTTCTCACCTTTCCGGTTCCCTTGATAAATCCGCCGAAGCCGTCTTGCCGAGCGCCCTCCAGCGGCTTGGTGACGACTCCCTTCACACCGTCCACAACTCCCATTCCAAGTCCCTAAGGTCAAAATTAATAAAAGGAGAAAGCGTTAAAACCTTGAAGCCGCGCGCCATTCCCTCGGCGAACGATTGTGGCCGTCGGTTCAAGTCTTCCTGGCGCTTCCGTTGGTATCTTAAAAGAAATACGTGATTTTAACAGGAAAAATACTCTTGATCGAAGGTCAGGGCAGCCACTCCTTTTCCAACCGTGCCAGTGATGCGACCAACAGCGCCAGCCGCACCGCCAACAGCGTGGCCGAAGAGTGACTGGACGCCGAGGCCGACACCGGAGATGAACTCCTCGGGGCCCTAAATCAAGACGCGAATTATAATATTTTAGGATTCTTTTTATAGCACATCTTTGAAATAATTACCTGGACCAATCCTTGATACGGTTGATAGAAGAGATCTTCCACACCGGATGACAAATCGCGGACAAGCCCGAACGGGTTGCCGATTATGTCGAGGCCGAGGACGAGCACGTACAGCTGCTTGATAGCCTAAAAAATATGAATTAGATTAGCATTTTAAAATCGGATCGCAGTAAGCCAAATACAATAAGACTCACCTGCATCGTGTAGTGGCTGATCACTTCGGCGTTCAGCTGATCCTGGTTGTAGTAAACAGCCTTTCGCTCAAAGTAGGCCAGCTTGAAGACGACGTCCTGCAGCTCGGTCAGCGTCACGCCCACACTCTTCAGCAGCACATTGACGAACTCGCTCTGGATCGGAGCCGGGCCAGCAGCGCGTTCGGCGTCGTTACCACCTTGCGAGAAGGAGAGATGGATCATCAAAGGTGAGATGTGGATCTCGTCGTAGTACGACTTGGGCTTCTGCGACTTCCAAGCGTCGGCCATTTGACCGAGGTTGACCTTCGTCAGCTCCATGTCCTCGTCGAACATCTTCTTGCCGTAGGGTTTCTTGATCGTGGCGTTCGGAGAGAGGTCCAGGGCGGCGTTGATGAGGCCCTGGTCGACACGGACTGCGAATTCTTGAACGAGCACCTTGCAGTACTCAATCTCGGGGATCGTAGAGAACTCGTTGGAGCGTTCGACGTATGAGAACTCGACGAAGGGCTTCGGGGCTGAAAAAAAATCATTAAAATTAACAATAAGATTTCAAAGTCCGAAAAAATATGTCGTAATTTAAAAAAATAAAGACTGACCATTGTCCTGAACGACGCTCTTCGGCGGCGGGACCACCGAGAGCACACACGGGAAGACGCAAGCATCCATCTGGTTGTCAATCTGCAGATGGTTCAGCTTGAAATGGAAGCGCTTGCGCTGAGCCGTCGTACTGTAGTGGGCGTAAATTCCGCGCTCAAAGATGCGGCGCATCTTGAGCTCTTTGCCGTTCTTCTTCTTGCGCAACAGCATCCGCTTCATGTTGGCCTCATATTTGCCCTCCACAGCGAGCCATTCCTCCTTGTCATTCTTCAGATAGCCCTGGTAGTGCTCCTCGAGCTTGGCCATGTACTTGACGGCCAGCGGCTTGTAGCGGATCTGCTTCTTGAAGATGCCGAAGCCTGAGCTGAGCGAGCCCTCTTCCCACAGGATATCTGAGGAGCTGATGCCGACGTAGAGGACCTCGACGCCCTTGTGATTGTCGACGACGCTGAGGCCGAGCCCTTGGAGCAGGAGGTCACAGCAGAAATCGGTGTTCTCCAGCTCGTGCGCACCGAAGGCAGCGCGGGCTATCGAATGCTCGGCGGTGAAGAGGAGCGTCCTTTGTCGGCCGTTGAGGAACGAGGTGAAGTAGACGTATTTGCGCGCTTCCTTGCTCGGCTGCACCTCGCCGAAGTCGTTCTGCATGAGCCCGTTTTCGCCCTTGTGCTCGCCGATCTGGTATTCGAAGAGGCGGTCGCGGGTCAGCTCGCTCCAGGTGAAGAAGACGTGTTCGCCGGGGAGGAGCCGTTCACGTCGGTGGCCCTTTTGCCCGTATTCGATTGGCATCTAGGTGAGTTGGCCATTTCGAAATGATCAAGACGAACCTTCAGATGATTAATAACGTGGACAGGAGCGGATCCTGGCGAGAACGGCGTCAAGTGGACTGTGACGGAAGACTCGCCAACGGTACACGCGACATCGATACCGGCCGATGCATCGTTGATCTAAAGAAAAGAGTTAATAAAAAGTGCGTGTGATCACCTGAGCCAACGTTTCAATGTTCTCAGTGATCGGGAAAAGCAGCGACTCCTCCGAAGCACCAGCGTATCGTGTGCAGTACACCTTGCGCTGCTCCTTCTGCGTCGGCCAAATGCCAATGCACTAAAAACGGATAAAATAGAAAATTCAGATAATGCTAACCTTTTCTGCAGGAATCGTGGTCCACTCTTGTACTTGATCTTCTCGGACCTCAAGGTCGAATTTGCCGCAATTGCTGACGAGGTAGAAAGGGGCGAAAGAGACTATTTTGGTGAGGCCAGACTGGCACAGTTGGATGGAGACGCTCAGCTAAAAACATGATTATGAAACTGTAAAAACGAAAATTAATTAAAGCACGTCGATGAATTTTCGATAAACAAAATTACGGATTGTCGTTAGACAAATTCCTACATCATAGTCCCTCGATTCGCCCTTGCAGGTGACGCGGGCCGTATTTCCGACCGTTTCCAGCGGGAACTCGTCGGACCAGTTGGAGTCGCCCTCGACTTGGACGCGAGACTAAATAGGTTTTTCATGCAAGAAAAATGAAAAATCCAACCTTCTTCTTCTGGCCGACATCCTTGGATGGGAACGGCAGAATGATGGGATTCTGGTCGGGGCCATGGCGCAGGGCGTATTCCTGAAAAATTGGTTCCGGTCAAGCGTTAGAAAATTTTTCATGCAGGCCAGCAAGGGTTATCGCTCTGGGGAAGCCAAGCGCCAAAAAATACCGACAATTGACGACGAACGAACATGACGATGACGAACAACGTCCAAGCAAGTATTTTTGTGGTGGTCTAAGCAAACGCCCAACAAAAAAAAATAAAAATTTCAGAAATTCAGCAAAAAGTTAATTTCTGATCGTCCTGGCTTCAAAATGGCGCCGAGGATCGACCACCAAAACCCCCAAATAAACACGACGACGGTGATTACGGCAAGCAGGAACACAGGGGGCAAATCGTAAGCTATTGTGAAGGCTGGCAAGCCCTGGGCTAGGATAAAGAGAGATGCCTCTACTAGCATTGAGTCGTCTCCACCCAGACGAGCGTATATTCAGGGTAGAGGTGGAAGATGACCACATGCACGCCGCTCCGAATTCTCGAGTCTAGGGATTCACCTCGTTGTCCACCGCAGTTTTGGGCCGGCATGAGATGCAATTCGTCGTCGACGCGATAAAGCCACCGGAGCTCTCCTAGAACGACCGAACCGGGTAAAAAAGTTGGGTGCAGCTGAGGGAGGGCGTTGCTGTTGCTGCGTGGCAATGGCTGTTTTTGTGTTGAGCTGCTTGGTGTGGAAGATAAGCAAAATTCAGAGATTTCCGAGCGAGGATATGCGAAAGTCCCGAAACCAGCGCAGGCGATTTTAAAGGAGCGTTACAGAATCTTTTGGCGGCTCTAGGAGGGAAGAACAGCCGTTTGCGAACTGAAAGATGTAGGATTTTCAGGGCTTGCCATAAAAACCGGGGGTCAGCATTCCAGCCCTCACTGTACGACAAAAACGTAATTTGCAACCAATTCACGAGCTAGGCCAGGGCCAGCTCACCTCAAAGGTGGAGTCCGAGTCAGATTCTCCCTCCGGGAGCAACGCTCCGGGCTGAACAGGCAGAAAGTTTGGAAATTTAAGAGGGCGATTAGGTGTGTCAATAGGGTTTTGATGGGGAAATATACGAATAGGAGCCGGAAGAAGAAGCGCAGAGAAAATTATACCATGTGTCGAAGGGTCATCGACGTGTTGTTGACCATCCAGAACGGGGCGTACAGGTAGGCCTTGAGGCCACCGTATTCGCGAGACCAATGGAGACCGAGCAACTGCAAAAGACATGGAAAGCGTAAGAACTACTGTACCAGTTCAGCACTTCCGGATTCCGTGTTCAAGGCGACAACTTGCAGATCTTCGGGCCGCTCCTCCATGCGCATGTCAAGCACATACTTTTCGTTGTGGTAGCTCGTCTAAATGAAATTTGCTGAAGATAAGGAAAATCGTACGTGCAGCCGAAGTTTGTGGCCAGCTATGATGTTCAACACCGTGTCCTCGCCGGGACCCAACTCGGCACCGATCTGAAAGAAGCCTAGAAAATATAAGGCTTCATCTACCGGCTGCTCAAGCGTCACCGGGAACGGCAGGTTGTTATGGAAGACGAGCGGTGGGTAGAGCGAAATGTTGAAGCTCGAATCGGTCTTTTTCTCCTTGACAACGGCGCCTGCAAAAGCCGATAATTGGTAAATTAAAAACCACCTCCGGTTGGATAGTGAATCTCATCCTCGGAGATGACGGTTTCGAAGAAGAAGCCCTTCGTGTCATCGTCGCTCAGGTTGCATCGAATCGGGGCACGCTTCTGATTGGCAAAGTCGTGCCAGGAGACCGACTCGAACGAGACTTCGGTGCTAAAAAAATATAGATAAAAACCGTACAATTCAAAAAACCCACTTGTCGCCAACGGGCTTGAAGAAGAGCTCGCCGGTCGGGGTGAAGAGCAGCGGGACCGGCAGGTTGACCGTCTCACCCGTCTTGACGATGGCGGCCAAATCGAGGTTGTTGTCGCGTTTCGAATACACCTCCATATCGACGTCAAGGTGATTTGTGACCTAAAATAAGGGCTTATCTTTCTAAAAATTTAAGAACGTACCTGTACATGCGATCGCAATGTGATCAATCGCCGACTGTTTTCGATCGAGACATCGACGAGCATCTTTAAAAAAATCAAGGAATTGCCAATGCAACTCAAGTCAAACCTTCCATTGTTTTCCGCCTTCACTCTGTTTGGGCAGGGTGAGCATCCACTTATCAGCGCGCCCAACGACAACATCGCGAACGGTTTCGAGGAGTTCTAGTCTAAATGAGGTTTGTAAAGATTTATAGACCGGTCGTACCGGAGATCAGCCTTCGTTTCATTCTGCGTAACGGACAGGAAGGTATCGGTGTTCTCGCGTTTATCCTTGTCATCGGCTTGCCCGTCAACCGCGTCCAAATCGACGAAGGCACCGTGCGTCGCGTCAATCGTCGAGCCGTCCTCGGAAGCGACCAGGCTGTCCGAGTTGGCCACCCTGACCGTCATCCCGGAGTCGTTGAAGATGAGGAATGCCGACGTGCCAGGCAGCGACCGGCTGACCGGAGGTGATGTATTCGTCGCAGCAGCCGCAAACACCTCGCCCAGCTTCGTCAACAGGTTGATGAAGCTGCGCGTGACGGTGATGTTCAGGATATCCTCGGCCTCGACAGAGACGTGCATGCCGGGAGATGAGTCGTTGGGGTCGAGCTTGTTCTTGCCCTGCACGTTGCACTTGAGGCTCCAGCGTTTCCAGTCGTTGGGCGTTTCCTGCTCAAGGGGCTCGATGACCGGCTCCCAGACGGAGCAGCCTTCGTTGTAGTACGACATTTGGAGGGAGAGTTCGGAAGAAGCCTTGAGAGCGCTGCTCCAGTTGCTCGCTTCGGCTCGCATTTGCATGTCGAGGAAGATGAGAGGCAGGGGAATCTAAAAATGACATTGCAAAAACAAGGAATTGGGAATTACCGCTTCATTTCCAGCCTCCAATGTGAAGCTAAGCCGCGGGATCTCGACCGTGCACTTCTCGACGGGCCCACGAATAGATTTGCGCCGAGATCCGGATCCTTCCTCCTCTTCCTCGTAGTCCTCATCAATCTCCTCGGCCGGCTCGGGCATGTTGAAGAACCAGTAGCGGTGCTCCTCGAGCTTCTTCTTCTCCCAGTAGTTCGGGAAGAAGCGGCGCTTCGGGTTCGCCGTCACCGAGGCCTCTTCGGCTTGACTGTGACGCGCGAATTCAGCGTTAGCTGCCGCGAGAAGTCGAATGACAGATGGAGCCATCTGAAAATAATAATTTTTGAGGGATTCGAAGATAAGGTCATACCTTCAGCTCAAGCGGCGTCATCTTCAGCATCACTTCCGTCGACTTCGTGTCGTTGTTGATACTGGCGGCGATGCCAATGTCCACCGACTTCATCACTTCATACGTCACATCCTTACGCTTGTTGGGGGCATAGTAGCTGCTGAAGATGCGCAACGCCTCGACGCCGCCGTGCATCACTTGGACCGTGTTTTTCGGCTCGGCCTTCAGACGGACGTTGAAGGAGAGGATGAGGGCTTGCGTGTTGTCGGGGTCCATGGAGTTTTCGATGATTATTACCTAGGCAAAATTATTGCAAATTAGTTTTCTCACCTCAACACCCTTCATGTCACAGTCCATCGTGATCGTACCCACCGGAGCGGGAACGGCCGGCGGCTGATCCTTCTCTTTGCTCTTGTCGATTTGGACTTGAATATTGGCGGGAGCCTTTGTAGCCGTGGGCACGGCTTCACGGTCAATTTCCTCCTGCGTCTTCGGCACGGTGAAGAATGCGGCGAGGCAGCCAAGGAATTCGGGGCTCATGCAAAGGAAGAACGCCGACATCTCCAGGCGAACTAAAAACACAAAATGCAGCTAGATTTGATGCGCTTACTATTTTTGTCCTGGTTGGCCTTCTGCTTGAACGACAGGTCAAGGAAGCGCTCCTCTTTTGTGGAAGCCTTCTTGTCGAGCAGGTGCGGGATCTTTGTCTTGCCCTTGCGCTCGTCGTTCATCTGGAAGACCTGCAGCGACATGGCGACGAGCAGCTCGTTGTCCTCCTTGATGTGACCGCTCAGCTTCAGCCCTTCGATGCGCATCGAGGCGAAGGCGTTGGCTTGGTCGCGCGTGGCAGAGGTGGTAGTGCCTAAAAGTTGTTCTCAAAAACAATTCTCTAAAACTACCAGTGTACAACTCGATGGCTATGTTGTCCATCACAAATTTGAAGAGGATCTTGTCGTAGACCTTCATCGTCAAGCCACCGCCAGTGAGTTTGGACTGAGAAAGGGTCTAAAACCAATTAATTTCCGGAAACTAGGTTTTCGTACCTGATCTTCACCGCCGGCAGCCTGTCGCTCCTCCTTCTTCTCAGTCTGAACGACGACTGGGGGCGGTGGGACATGGTCGGCAACGAGCTCGTGGCCCTCGGACAAGTTTCCGGACAGCGTGTGCATCATCGTCGCGTAGTCGTCGTGCGACAGCGCCATGTTGATCGCAGAGATATGAGCGTCGACGGCGGTTTCTGGGATTTCCTAAAAAAAAGCTGGATGTAAGCAACAAGTCTCATACCTTGACGATGCCAAAGGTGAGATTTCTGTGCACGTCGAGGCTGAAGGTGATCGGACGGAGGACCTCGGTCTTGAAGGTGAGATCCTTTGCTTCGTCGTCCATTCGGCCACTAAAAAGGGTTTTGAAGATGACAATTTGCAGCTAGCTAGCCATGAGGCCAGACCCGCTCAAAACCCACATTCCAAAGTACACATCGGTCAGCTTGATGTCCATCGAGTCGAGCACGGCTTTCGGGTACTCCCGGTGGCCAAGAATACGATTGCGCACGATCAGATTACCTATTATATGATAAAAATCAATGATTTTTAAGCATAAATATTAATAAATTTTAAAAAAACTGACCAAGGTCGACGACGAGCACGTGTGTTGAGGACGAGAGACGCGGGACGAGAATCAGAGGAGCCAGCAGCTCGACGTCAAGCTCGATTCGAGGCGGGGATTGTTCGAGCATCTGTTTCGCCGCTTCAAGCGCTTCTTGTGACTAAAAAATATAGTCAAAAAGCCGAATTTATCGAATTACCTTTTCTGAAGCCACCGCTTGAGCATGAGCTTTCGCTACAGCCGCTTCGGCGCTGAATGGCGCGGCAAACGCCTGCATCCGGTTCACCCAGAGTTGGAGGAAGATGAAGCGGAGCTGGGCGAGTCGGAGCTAAAAAGCGGACTCAAGCCGTATTGTATGGCTGAACCATACCTTGACTTTCATATCGACATCCGATGCCTGCATGTGCTTCTTCTCGTCGGGCGTCCGTTGGTATTGGAGCATCTCGAAGCGGAGCATCGTCTCGTCGCCATGGACTGCCATAAGGTTCCTAGGAAAAATAGAATTTCAGCAAATTTCTGATACTTGTGAAGCGCTCCCTTCGTCATGTCGAGCATTTTGATAGCTTGCAGCGTCGCCTTCACTTCCATCGTCTTGAGCGTCATCGTGACCACGGAATCGACCTAAATCTTATAAGTAAAGTCGAAAGGAGAAAAGCACCTTTTCAATAGCCATCAGCGTATCGACCTCTCGCTCCGTTCCGAGCAGAATGGCCAGCTGACCAACGGAGGCGTCGATCTTCATCTTAATCACCGACGGATCCGGCTCATCCTAAAAACGTTGTTAAAGAAGTTACAATCATCTTTCTAAAGCGGACAAGACAACAGGGTGCAACTACCAACAAGCGCAGGGCAAAATTTTGAGCATTTTTAAAGCGGATTCGTGCGATCAATTTCAACAGCTTTTTTTCTGGAAAATGGTTATGCCACTAGGCCAATTCCTAAGCTACTACAAGCAAGCATCCACCATTTCCCATCGCCAAGCTTACCTCTCCTTTTACGCTCTATAATTTAAAAGATTTATAAATTTGATCATCACAAATTTATACCTGCTTCTTTCGCTTTGTGCGCTTCTTCTTGGCGGCCTCGGTCTGGGATTCGCGGGCAAGTTGGGCCAGGGAATCCATGCTAAAACCAAACCAACTTATTTAATTCTTGGCAAACAAACCTCGACGAAATCTTGCGACTCAGCTTTCGGCTGGCACTCTCGTCGGTGGGCTCTTCGCCATCGACTTCCTCGGAGGAAGCCTAGAAAAAAATAAGCGTCAGTCATATTCACCTACCGGTTTATCTTTAGCCATAGCCTCTTGCAGCGCTTCGCCAAACTTCTTCACTTCCAGGAAGGCCTCTTGGTGGAGGGCAATGTTCAGCTTGGAGAACTTGAACCCGACCGCCATCTCGGTCTTGTGGTATTCGGTGGCGAAGAACGGGCTCTCAGGATTAGCCTGAAAAATTACATAGAAACAATCCGGGAAATACATACCTGAACAAATTTCAACTGCATCAGGGCACCCTCCTCCTCGAAGGAGTCAATGAGGTACAAATGCGGCTTGCGATCGTCGAAGCTGCGGAAGAGCGGCATGGCGATGGAGATGGAACCGAGCTAAAAAACAACATAACAATTAGAGCTCAAAAAAATACCTCAGCATTGACGAGCAAATCGAACGTGCGCATCTGAAGTTGGCAAACGAAGCGCTGGAGACGAACATCGGCCAGCACATCCTCGCCCTTGTAGACGACAAATCCGATCTGGAAACTTGGGATAAAATTTTGGTTTGTGTAATAATTTGTTCGAATAGGCTATTGCCAAAATGTGGGCTGTAAAGTAGACGACAAGTCGTATAGTCTAACTTGCGGCCTGTTCTATAGCCGGGTATCGCTCTTGGTGCTTTGCTTTACGAGGGGTGTATAAGAGGCGTGTTATCGCAACACACGCCCCCTTCTTAACCCTCGCGCGGCGGGCCTCGAACTCGGGTCGTGCGCGTGACAGGCAGAGGCGCAAGCCATTAGGCTACGTGGTGGCCGCGACGGGGGTGCAAGGGGTCCCCAAGTAGAGAGGGAAGGACGCACATTAGTGCGGCGACCTTTCCAGCCCCTTTTTCTCGCCGCAAACGCACCGTGTTCAGCTTCAAATCCAGCTCGACCTGCACCTGCTGCTCGTTCTTCAGCTCTTCCTCCTTGGCCTTTTTCTCGGCTACAGTTTCAGCCGTTTCCACCTAAACATTTGATTGTTACTATTTATATATTTTTTACTTCATCCGCCTCCATGATCGTCTTCATCTTTGCCAAATCCTTGACCTTGACGTTGCTCTTCATCGCCGGCAAATCTTCGAGAATTTCCTAAAGTTGTTTTTACACCGACATCAGTGGCTCAATTTACCGGGGTTTCTTCGGGCTTCGGCGTGGGATGGAATTGAGGAGGTCCATCAGCATCAGGAGACGCTTGTCCGAAATGACGACCACGATGTCGGGAAGGTCGCCGATAATTCGCATCCTGAAACAGATTATAAGAATCAAAAGCTTGAAAAAAAGAAATATTGATTATTTTACTTACTTTGGCAAGCTCAGATCCTCCACGCCACTCTTGTGGAACTGAATGTCCAGACCCGTCGGCTTCAAAATGTGCAGCGGTGATTCGGGCAGCTTGATGGCCTCATGCGCTTTCTCCATCTCCTAAAAAACAAATTTTCATTCTAAAAATTATTCCCACCTCCGCAAACGCAATCACTACATTGCTGAGCTTCACCCGGAACTTGTCGTAGGCCATCTCACGCAGCCGCGCCATCTTGTCCATCCCTTCCTGGACTTGCTGGTCGACCGTCGTGATAGTCAGCAGACCGAGGTCGGCCATGATTGTCGGCTTTTCAGGGGCATACACGCCGCCTTCCGAAATCAACAGCGTCGCCGGGTTGATGGAAATGTCGAGCACCAGCTTCTTCTTGAACTCGACGGCATGGGCCAGGCCGGTAACCGAGCGAGTTTTCACCTCCTCGTATCTCGACATGGCCGCAGCGGTCAGCTGGTTCAACCGCACCGACTCTGGCGGCTTGAACACGTCGGCGGCTGCATTGACGGCGGGCGCGTGGTACTTGAGGGTGACCGGAGCGATGGAGAGCGCCACCTTTTGGTCGTATTTCCCGTGAAGCGGATTTGTGTCAACTTCCAGGTCGAGCCACGGTTTCGTCGCGTCGCGAACTCGCAACATTTCCGCGCCACAACCGTCCATTCGTAGCTCCTTGATGCCGGACTTGATGTTGATGGCGCCGGCACTTGGACGCTGAGCAATGTAGGCGTCGAGCTGCAGCAATTTCATCGACACCGCATGATCGACGTTGATCGCGATCTCGCCAAGGCGGAACGACAACTTGTTCTCGACGTACTCCTTGGGGTAGTTGGTAGGCGGGATATTTTCCTGGTAGTCGATGGCCTCGAACAGTTTCGCCTTCTCCTCAGGCGTCATCGCCTCCTCAAACTGGGAGACGACGTCTTTGTTCTTTTTGTTCTCGTGGCTACCACCGCTTCCGCCCCACCAGCTCTTGGCCCAGCCCATAATTCCTTGGGGCTGGTCCTCAATACGCGTCAGACCCTTTCGATCAATCTCCATCTCGGCCTGTTGACGAGCAATGTTGATGTTGAAGACGTCAAGACGATCCTCCGCCTTTTTGACAAGATCCGTCACATGGCTGCCCGGGCTCTTCTCGGTCTGATGCTTCACCCAGGCATCCCGATAATCGCGCACAAGTTGCCGATGCTCCTTCATACGCTTCCAGTTCCAGTTTCGGCGACGCCGCCGAACTTTTTCCTCCAGAATGGAAGTGTAGGCGAATTTCCACCAGGTCTTGTAGTGGCCTTTGTAATCAACGACGTGCGCAGGCCGATATTTGAGATATTGGCCGGCCAGTGTGAAGCGCTCCTGAGCCTCCAGGAAAAGGAGCACATCTTGATATTGGAACTTTCCAATCGTCAACGCCAGCGCCTTCATGTCGACAGAGAGGTCAATTTTAGGGATCGACCAGCCGCTTCCGTCTGTCTCCGGCTTTTGGTTGAGCTGCAGCTTGGCCTCCATTTTGATCGGCTCCAAGATGTATTTGTAGCCCTCGGGTCGGTTGTTCTTTGTGGTAATTGTAGCCAGCATCTTCTCCTTGACCTCCTTGCGATCCGAAAGATCGGAGAACAGCGTCACGTCCGAGTTCCAGTATACGGCCAGATTTTCGAGGCTGACGAGCTTGTGGATAATTTTGAGCGTCTCCTTGTGAATGGTGGGCAACCAGTTCTCGTCGGTGGTTTGGAAATCGAGCTTCTGCAGTGTGATGCCGGCGGCGAACGGGCGGTGCCGATTGGTCCACTTGTCCTCGAAGCGGACGTGGATATTCGAGATGGAGATTTGCAGATTTTTGATGATTTGAGTCACCATCTTTTCAGCGAAAGAGTCGGCTGTCGGGTCGGCCGGCTTGCGCCTGGAAAGACAATCGTAAATGCTCAAAATTGGCGACAAACCTGTTCTTTCGAGCCTCTTCTAGACGGGCCAACGTCTTTTGCTTGATTTCGGTGATATTTTTCTTTGCCTGGAAAAAAGTTTGAGCAGCGATTATGCGAATTATACCTTTTCTTCATTGTACACGACGCCTTTGTTCGGGACCACAATCAAATGTAGTCCGTCTATGTTAGCGATCACCGGCTCAGTGTAGAGATTTTTCCACGGGATCTGGAAAAAGTCAATAAATGTATCTATAGCATTTGGCGTACCTTGAGAACCAACGATGACAAATAGCCAAACTTGAGCTTGATTGGGAGATCCAAGTCATCGAGGGCAGTCTCCTTCACTTCGAGGTTCTCAAGCTTCACATCGCCTAAAAACAATTTCACAGCTCAAAACGTAAACCATACCGCCCCAAATTCCAACATTGAGCTGCGACGAGTCGAGATTCTCGACGAAATCGCCGAGAAAGCGATTGAGTAGATCGGCTACTAGCGATTCAAACACCATCGCATATCTGGAAACGGAAGTATTGGCTCAAGGAAAGACGTGTGAAACGGGGCAAAAACATGGAACGGAACGAGCTAGGCAAATCGATGCGGCTGAATCAGAATTGCGGGTGGCCTATTGCTAAACGGCTCACCAACATGGAGCGTTCGCCGGAATGGCTGGGGGGGGGGGCGACCGGCGATTTCACCGCATATTATTGGCAAGGGTCCCTGCGAGAGGGGGCCGAGAATAACAATAATCAGGTGCTGGTGCAGAATCAAAAACAAACGCGGGTCGACAGAGCGAAACTGAACGCCTAGGTTTTGTAATTTTCCAGTATACTAGCGTTACAGCCTCTTATTTTCCAATTGTTTCCAATAGGTATATTGCTTGTAAAGACCAATAAAACGGCACATCTGGCCAAATTTTACGGAATACTATCATTAAAACCTTCCAATTCTCAAATTTCTAATCCCAAAACGCGCACAAAGCCCCCATAAAACAGCACATCTGTGCCAATTTTACAATCCGCTGCAGGGCAACCGCTAATTTGTGAGAAGCTCGTGGGAACGGGCCCCGCGGCTCGTTGTTTACCACAAAACCCTCCCAAGACCAAAAAAGGGACCAGACTAGGTTATTGACAGCCGAGCGGGCGGCCCAGTGCCCCACTCGTTGGGTCCATTTTTTGCGCTGTAAACAACCCGTAAAAGAAGGCCGAGTTCCCGAGTTCCCGAGAACTGGATCAATGTAGCGGTGGTAGGAACGGCGAAAGGTCCACCCGCACAGTTCAGCATCGACTCACTCAGCCGTGGCCTAATGGTGGACCTGCACGGCCAAAAAAAAGTTTTGCGAAATGGGAATTTGAACGGGTGGTTGGGGGATGCAGGGTGGGGGGGGGCGGCGGCTGACTGAAAACAGCCCCCCAGTTGCTTCGCACAAACAGCCCAGGGAGGCCTGATTCGCGGGAGGTTGCAGGCGAAAGGCGAGCCGTTAGAGAGCCGGAATTGCAGCCAGCCCAAAAAGGATTCATTCCAGCACGCTGAAAGTGACACAGACGCAAAAGCGAAGAAAACGGCAGCCTATGCCGAATCACCCCCATCCGCACGCAGCATGGACGGCCCCCGAAAAAAAGTGACGGACCTGGGCCAGGGATAGGACGGGCCATAAAAAAACTAAAACTTTGGAGAAGGGGTGAAAAGAAAGTAGTTTGGGATCTGTTTCAAAAAGACACGAAAATCGGGGAATAGAACAACGTTTTCCTATGCTTTCTAACACACCTTAGTTCATAACGCCGCATAATAAAGCCTCTATCCTTACTTGTAATTTTTTTTGCAGAGTAAAAACCCGAATTGTAAAAAAAACTAGGTTGTTTGCGTCCTTTTGTTTTTTATTTCGTCGAGTACGCCCGCTTACGATCCACACTCGAAATTTAGAGGCAGGCTGCGTGCGCTTAGGCCGGCGAAATTCTGCGAGTCGATCATTTGAAAGGAATTCTTGAAATTAAAATAATTTTTTAACCTTGTTAACCAAAAAATTGGCAAACACTCTTTTCTGCAATGTATCAAGCAGCTTGGGAAGAGCCCGAATCAACACTTGTCACGGTCTCTTTAGACTTCCGATGCGTTTAAAGTTGACATTTCTATGGTACTTTAAATATTTATTCTCTAACTTTCTTTGCCTCCTTGTTTATCCTCTGCAGAAATCTGCTGTTTCCTGCACCTTCGTTTCAAATGAGCGCCCACATCTGCCGTATCGGCCCCGCCTACCCCGGGTACTCGGGCGCGTCTTATCATTTCTGTCTTCGCGCCTTTAATCTCCGTCTCTAAACATTTTTTTATATTTTAAAATTGATTTTCGCAATTTCGAGGCACTATTTTGTAGATGGCCGCCGTGCCCGCCACGGAGAGGCACTATTCGGATGAAGAGGACGCTGAGGTTTGATAGTGAATCAACTTTTTAAACTTTTCATAGGCTCTGATTGACGGCACATCTGAGGTGAAGGAAAATGATGTGAAAGAGGTAAGAGCGGGCATGGGAGCCTGAAATTGGCCGTTTAGAAGAACAATGCGGAGAAGTCGAATGATCCGCTTTGCTCCGATGAGGAGGACATTGAGGTATTTTTTTTTGTTTAAAAGGTTAAAATTTCCTTAGGCGCTTTTCGGCGACGCAATTGATGAGGGCGAGCAGGAGGAAGATTCTAAGGTAATTTATCCAGTTAAATGATTGACCCATACTGTTTTCAGGATCTTTTTGATGCGAAGGCGGCTTTTCCGGTCGACGGGGACAAGCTGGCTCGAAAGGGCGGCGAGGCTGATGCTGACCAAAAGCTGATCGCTGCCGGGACGCCCGCCAGAAAGGCCAGAAAAATCTTGAAATCACAAACGGTGAGGCACATGCGTTAATTTTTACAGATTCTTTAGCCCAAGGGTGTTGTTAACAAGGAGGATATCCCGCTTGAAATGAATGTGTGTCAGGTAAAAATAAAAAAATAACTAAAAAACCGTTTGTTTAGCAATGCGGAATACGGATAGCCAAAGGACGAAACCAGGCGCAAAACACGCTTTTCTTGGTGCAGCATTCGATGGCGCACCTCGACGTTCGCCCCTATCAATGCTCGAGTAACTTTTCGTAGTCGATAATGAATTGAAGAATCACGAAAATAAATAAAAGAGTTTGTATATTTTTTCAGTCTGCGATTTCGTGGCGGCTCGTCACAAGCTGATTACTTTGCATCGCAAACGACAGCACGAAGGCGAGGGCTCGCACATTGACCACCGGTAAAATTAGAAGACTTTGATTATTTTTTATTCGTTTAGTACACCGGTGTACTACGCCAAGCTGAAGCTGATGGTGATGACCAATTTCCCGTTGCAAATGAATGAGACCGAGCGGCATGTCTCGAACCAGTTGAGCCAGTTCAGCGACAGCCTGTCGATACATATGGATGTTGAGCGGGAAGTTGAGAAGAATCAGTGCCAGGTGATTGACCGTTCTTTTATAAGTTTCTTACTTCTGCCAAAAAATACGGAATTTATCAGGAATTAAAAAAGAGATAACAACAATAAAACGTTGTTTGAGTTATGCGGCAAGAAGATCACGCTGCAAAAGGATCCCTGCATCAACACCATCTGTATAATGCAACATTCGATGATACACATCGATCACAAGCCGTTCAGCTGCCCGCGTAAGTTATTTTTTTCGATTTTGAAAAGTTTTGAATATTATTTTAATGGTTTGGTTGTTTTAATATTTTAATAAATTTAATTTCTTTGCAGAATGCGGCATAACGAGTCGCGCCAAAGACGAGGTCCGCAAACACCAAATCCGTGTCCACGGCGAGGCCGAGGAGGTCGTTGACGGAAGGTAAAACCCCCTTTAAAAATATTACAATCACTATTTGGAACGATATTAATTCCAATAATCAACAATTAAAATAAAAAAAAGCAATAAGTAATTCGTATTTTAGAAGCGAAGTCTACTTCAAGGATCTGCTCGACATGTCCAAGGCCAATTTCCCGCTCCAAATCGAGGAGCTCGAGGTCCGCATGGAGTTTGTGAAGAGCAAGCTGCGCGAATTCGGACCAATCAAATCCAAGCCGGACACCTCGGAGAAGACCTACAGGGCGAAACCCTGGATGAAGCGGCAACCACCAGGACGAAAAGGCGGGCCACAGTGGAAGGCAAAGCAAGAGCGGAAGCAGCAGCGGGAGCTAAGAGCTGGTGAGGCTGCGGTGGATTCTCCTGCCGCTGATTCACCATCTACTGACCCGCCTCCGGTGAAACGGCGTCGCTCTCAGCGCTCCCGAAACAACGACGCGCTGAAGGAGTTCTACAAGGAGTTCGGGCTTGAAGGTATATTTTAAATATTTTTTTATTAAGATTTTTTACGATTGTTTTAACTTAAAACTTTTACGTTAAATTTTCTTTTCGATAATATGTCACTTTTCAGATGTCTCTCCTATCAAGTCACCACCAGCTTCGACGAGCCGAGCCAGGGCCACGCCGAGCGTGTCGCCGGAAGAGGTTGGCTAATAACTAAAATTACTAGTGATAAATTTTAGTCATTTCCGCACAAAGAATCTAACCCGATGGACCTTTTGCTGGCCGATCTTCATGAAAGCGCGAAAAAGGCGGATTCAGGTAAGGTTTCTGAGAAATTCCTTTCATTTTTCGGTTTTTAGCCAACAAGCCCTCTCGTTCGGGCCAAAGTGCGGCTGATACCTCGGCGGTGAGTGTTTATCAACTTAGAACAGGTTAATTATTTTAAATACTTAGTTCTAATTCTTTAAATTTAAGTTTTTTTTCAGGCGTCCATCGAAGCGATAAATCGTTTGAAGCGGATGCTCGAAGACACGGAAGACGGGCACCAGGCCCCAGGCGACGAGCAGCAGGAGCACGTCGATGATCTGATGGCCCTTTTCGGTTGGTTTTTTTAGACTGTATTATGATTATTTTGAAACTTTTAAATCCAACTAAAACTCCCGATTTCAGGCCACCGACCGGCCAGCAACGATACCGCCGAATAACCCCCCCCATCCATCATTCCAACTTCCTTTTCCAGTTTTCACACATAATTCATGATTTACTTTTTGCTACGGGTTGGCACGTCAGTGTTTCTTGCTTAAGTTTTTTTGTTCTATTTGCAATTGTTATTTTTATATATTTTTTTCACAAAATAATAAATGTTGATTGGCTCTCAATGACAGATAATGCAGTAGAAGAAAAAGGAAGGCCTTTATTCGATCGTGATATCGCGCTTTTTCAGGGTGACAGTCACCGAGTTTGGGGCCACCGTCATCCACCCTTTGTAGCTGAGGGTTTTCTGAAAATTGTTGCAGAAAGCAGTAACGGGTTGCCTCAAAATCTTAAAAAAAATACCTCAAATCCAGAACCGGGTAGCAGCTCGTAATCCCTCAAAAGATAGGCCATTGCCAGCTTTTCTTCCATTAACGCAAGGCGCATTCCTGAATTAATTAGTTTGTTAAATAAACATTACAAAGTTGTTATTTATTAAAAATATTGCTATCGTTTGTTTAATTCAAAATATATAACTTTTGACCCACCAACACATTGCCTGGGCCCACCGCCAAAAGCCACGTACGCGTCTTTTTGCTCGGGGTTCAAGCCTTGCCATCTTAAACTTCTAATAAATTCAATTTTTATTGAACCACCGGTCCGGGTTGAACTCCTCGGCGTCGTCGCCCCAGATTTCCGGATCCGTTTGCAGGGTGTACGCGTCAATCTAATCATATTTGAAATAAAACAAGGCTTGAAAAACCTGCACAAAATCGCCCTTCTCGAGCTTGACTCCGCCTAGTTCTAGATCGTTGCCGGCAACTCGGCCAATTGCTCTGTAAATTTTTGGAATTTTTATGGTTTTAATTTCCCCTACGTCGTCGCCAATGGGTGTAGCCGAAGCGCTTCCTTGAAAACCGCATCCATCAATTTCAGCTCACCAATTTGCTCGTAAGAAATGTCCTAAAACTTGAACTTTTCAAAAGCTTTTTGTGCCAACCTTATCGGGGCAAACCTGCTCGATTTCCTCTTGCAATCGTTTTTGGATCTAAACATTATTATAACGAGTGAAAAGTGATGATATGCTGTGGTTTATTAGAATTTTTACTTCAGGGTTCTTCGCCAAGTACCAAGCCGTGTAGGACATCGAATTTGCGGTCGTGTCGAATCCGGCGAACAAGAAAAGGAAGCATGAGAAGAGGATTTCATCCTCAAGCATGTGCCGAGTCTGGAACGGTATCGTTTATTAATATTGAACCTTAATTTTGTATTTTTAACTATAGTCAGTAAGGTTACTCAGATTTTAGCTTTAAAAACTCAAAATGCCGCTCTTTCTTATCTTCACGCTCACTTTATCCCCCACTGATGGCTCGGTCATCAAGCTGTCAAGGGTGCTGGGACGTCCCTATTAGTACCACGCCGCGACACCATCTCCCATCCTCCGTTGTGGTCTAGTGGTTAGGATTTATGGCTCTCACCCATAAGGCCGGGGTTCGATTCCCCGCAACGGAAGAATTTTTTGCGTTTTGAGAATTGGCTCTCGTCTGGAATGCCTAGCACGATGATAAGTTGTGAATTTTATAAAAATCGTCATAGCGCTAATTCTTAGCATTTAGTTTTTCGAAAAAGAGCTAGAATGAAGTTGCTAATTTGATTTTTGGTGGAAAATTCTTATCAGAAGTGGTGGGAATACGAACTTTCGCAAAAAAAAAAGTCAGAGAAGAAGCTGTCAATCCGTTCGGAGACTCAATAACCAGCTTTCCGAACCTCACTCCCATCCTCCGTTGTGGTCTAGTGGTTAGGATTTATGGCTCTCACCCATAAGGCCCGGGTTCGATTCCCGGCAACGGAAGAAGCTTTTGCTTTTTGAGGGGAAAGGGTACATTTTTGCTGACTAATTCGGGGTCGAAAAACCGCCGACCTGAACTTCGTTACGGCTCATCCCAGCCTCTGCCTTCAAGTCAACGTCATCCGATTTAGCGTCAAGGAATAAATCGATAAAATCGGGTCTTTCCTTTTGAAAATCAGCCGGTCTGGACTCCTAAAAATCACATAATTCGAGACTTCACTAGCAGTAAACCTTTTCCTTCGTCCTTTCCTTCAGTATGCGCTTGATTCGGAATAGGATCTTCAGGGCCTCAAATTGTGTGCACAGGGCAACGATGATGAACGCTTTGCGGAAAAACTGATATTAAAGGGGAAAGCGATGCGTTCTAGCTTTTACCTTTGTGAAAGCTGGAATGGCGGCAGCTAGGAATATTAATGGTTCTCGCGGGTCTCTTCCGAACGCCTAAATTCAGCCAAAAATTTAGAAAAATCAAAACATACCTTTTTAATGCCAGCTAAAGAATTGGGTTTTCCGATTTTTGTCTCATCCTGGCCGAGGGCTATTCGGCAAATCGTGTCAAGGGTATATTCTTGGAAATATCTAGAAAAATGAATTGTTTTAGTAAATTGCTGTTATGGTACTCACACTAAAATATCTATTTCTTGTCCTTCTACTTTGGCAAATTGCTGCATGAGTTGTTTTGCAGAATCATCAATGGTATGAAGTACCTAATAAGCTTTTTTATGGTTTTAAGACATTTTTTTTTGCTCTAAACTATGGTGTGTGTTACTTTACTATGCTTTTTCTAGATGAAAATCACCTTTTTCAAGCTATTATTCGAAAATTGGGGTGATACAAGCCCGCGCAATCTTTTCCACCTGGCGCCCCAACTGTCAACGAGGTGCGCTTCGGAATCGTTGGGTCCCGGTTGGAATAGCATTTGGACCTGCAAAAAAATGGAATTTAATGCATTTCGCTCTCTCTCTCTCTCGCCCTCGCTATCTCCCTTTCTCTCGCTACCCCTCCCCCTCTCTCGCTCTCTCTTTCTCTCTCTGTCTCTCTCTCTGTGTCTATCTCTCCCGATTTCTCTCTCGCCCTCTCTATCTCCCTTTCTCTCGCTACCCTACCCCTCTCTCGCTCTCTCTCTTCTCTCTCTCTCTCTCTCTCTCTCTCTCCTCTCACCTTCCGCTGCTGAAATTCATCAAATCGCGTGCTCAGCACCTCTCGCACCAATTTTACGTCGGAAATAACCAAAACGTTCGTCACGCCCTCTTGATACCCCCAAATCTTTCCGAATTTCTAAACAAAAACCGTCAATCTGTCAAATTACTCTAGACCTTCGTGTAAATAGGCAATTCTCGGAACCATGGCTTCGTCGGGTTGATCGTTTTCCACAGGATTCCAAGTAACGGTGTTGATTTTAGGTTCGGGATGCCCTTTTCGTCCCAATACCCCGTTCTCTTACTAGCCCAATGGAAGTAGTAGGAAAATAGAACAATTAAAAGCGAAGCTAGTATCAAAAGTATCATTTTAAATAGGAAAATACAGCGGGATTAGCAAGGGAAATCGGGGAAATTTTTGACCCACCGATCGGCGGGGCGGGATCGATTTTTGGTCGGGTTGCAGACCGGTAAAAAGCGGAAAAGCAAATAATTCGGCCCGGGCAGCTGACCTTGAGTGATGTGGGGGCAGATTTGTCATGAGAGGATCCAAACAAATCACGAAGTCGTACAAATCTTTGAATTTGGTTGAATTTAAGGGAAACTCAATAAACTTTCATCGATTAGGAAAAAAAAAAGATGCATTATATTTGATGTTTCAGAGCGTACAAACACGTTGTAAAATTTTTGGCGTAAAAAACCTTTAATTTTGCCGGATATGCTGAAGGTTTGACACATTTCCAATACAGGGTGTCCCAAAAAAAAAATCCCCCTACCTAGCGGTCCGCAGTCAAGTCCGATTTTTATGATTTAACTACCCATCGATAGCTCTCGAAAAGGCGAGAAAACAAGCGGGTCTCGTTTTTTAAGATTTAATCTAATTCCATCGATATTTAAGGTTTTTCTAAAAAAACTGGTACTTTTTCAACAGGAATTTGCAATTAGCATGCAGATCCTGCACAAATTAGCAGTTTTCATGGTTTTTGGACGTAAAATTAGCGAATAAAAATGCATAATAAAGAAAATGAACCCTCCTTGTTTTCTCGCCTTTTCGGGAGCTTTCGATAGATACCTAAATCGTAAAAATCGGAATCGACTGCGGACCGCTAGGTAGGGGGGGTTTTTTTTGGGACACCCTGTAGATTCCGATACAGTACAAATGACTGTACACATTTTGGAGCATTCTTGTAATGAAAATTGCGCACGCATAAAATGGTTCTTTGAAAAACAACGACTAGAATGACTTCAAAGGGAGAACAAATTTCGTGAATCGTGTTTCGAAATTTTCTTGCCCGTTGGTTGTTGGGGATATTTATTCAAATTTAAAGCACTCTGGCGGCTCGATGCCGGTTTGGTGATAGGCGTTGTTATAGGCGTTCGAGTGAATGTAGAACGGGTGCCAGTTGGAGAATTGAGTCTGGTACTCCAGGATCTAAAACGGAGTTTAAAAGCTGTAAAACGACAGAAATTGCTTAAGTTAGACTTAAGCTCGGGTCTAGGCGTAGGCTTAGGCTTAACTTAGCTTTGGCGACGTACTTACCCATTCCCGATACGCTTTCAAAAATGGCCGATGCGCCTCCTCCATGCACGTCTCGCCAAAGTACTGGAACTTCATAATTTTAACAAGAAAAGTTTAAACTTACTTGTGGATACTTTATTGCCAGTGTTAGATTAAGAAAAAGACAAAATAGAATAAATTGCCCGGAAATCATTTCCTATAGAATTTCGAGGTCTGGCCGTCGAGATTCGGTGTTTCATTTGGGCGAATCGATGGTTTCGGCAGCTGCTCAAATAATTCCCACCAACTTCCGAAATTTTCAGGAAAAACGGTTCTCCGCGAATTGTTGAAGATTTGACAAATTTAATAGCACTAGATAAGGCCCTAACCACTTATTTTTCAAGACACAAATTTGAAAAATTAAAAGTGGAAATTTTGTATTTTTAGGAGTTTTTGTTGTTTGTCCATTTCTTTAATTTGATTCTGCGATCAATTACGCGTTTTTTATCACAGTATCTTTATACGTTGTCTCCTTCACGATGTGATATAATTTGGTGGTAATTACAAGCGATAATTTGGGGGGTAGCACTCAAGATATAGGCCAGCAGGAATAAGGAATGTCGGCGAAATGCGAGATTTTAAGTCCAAAAATAGCACTAAAATATTAAAGCTGTAATTACAATAAAAGATATAAAAATGCATAATTTTTTACAAATCCCAGCTGAAAAGGTGGTGTTTGATTAGCATATCTCGTACGCCTTCGCGTAGAGGTTCATCTCCCACCAGTTTTTTGTCCGTGGGGGAGGTGACTGAGTTCATCATCTAAAATTTATGTGATTTAGGCTGTGAAGTATGTAAAATTTGCAAATTTCAAAACTTACCTTGTACTTTGCGCTATTCAACATGCCAAATCTCTTCTTTTTCGTCTCGGCGCCGTCAATTTCGAAGGTTGGCGACAGTTTGAAGGCGAATTGGGCGAGTAGGCGGAGGTCGCATTTAATCTGGAAAATTTTTACTCGATACTTACTAGCGTCAAAGTATAGAATTTTTTCAGTGCTAACTTCGCGCATTTATAAGTTTTGTTAACTGCGAATCGCCTCAAAATTTACCCTATTTTCATGCTTTTCAAAATTCGAATATTAATGCGAGCATGAGAGCATTCAAAAGTATAACTGAAGCGCCCGATTACACAAAAAACTTCCATCTGATTAGCTCGACTCCGCCCAGTTGAACGACAGCTGTCGTGGACACCCCAAATCCCCAGAAAAGCTCTTCAACCCTCCCCCTCCCATCCTCCGTTGTGGTCTAGTGGTTAGGATTTATGGCTCTCACCCATAAGGCCGGGGTTCGATTCCCCGCAACGGAAGAATTTTTTGCTTTTTCGGGAGATGCTTCGAGAACGTGTATGGAGTACCTTTTCAGGCTAACCACGAGCAGCTTCTCCTACCTGTCGCCAAGCTGGTGTCCTGATGAAGGCCCAGGAGTGGTAGAACTTCTTTCTGATCTCCTCTTGCGCCGGGCTGCCGCACAGGATTTCAAACCATAGGTGGAGACACTGCTCGTTGGCCCCTGTCACAAGTAGTGATCTGGAAAAATGATTACATTTAAAATTACACGATCAAAATCCAGGTTGGAAAATCCTTAAGGGCTGCGCACTACCTCAATTTTACATCCTGATGTGCGTTGACAGCATTATGAGAATCGTTGACTTCTTGGACCGATCGGAAAAGCAGCTCTTCTGGCGTTAAGACCTAAAAACATTGCTTTTCAGGGTATCCCAACGTTATTTTTCCCCGCCTTTCCATCCTGGTCCAATTTAAAGGTGTTGCAAAGCGTCAATCTCGAATATACAGCACTGAACTGCTTCTGCACCGAGTAGTAGGCGACGTCTTCTGAAATCAGAGTTAAAGCCGTTAAAAGTTGCTAAAACTTGCTGAAAAAGCTGAGCACCTACCTATGAAAGACCAGGGGTGGAAGGCTGTTGTTGGATAGAGATTGTTCTCTCGGATTCCGTGTTCCATCACCTAGAATTGGCAAATTGAGGTCCCAGGCAGACAAGGCAATCGTGCATTGATGGAAAGAGAAAACGTGAGGGTGGGAGAGAGAGCGAGCGAGAGAGAGAGAGAGAGAGAGAGAGTGCGAGAGAGAGAGAGAGAGAGAACAAACGATACCTGTCGAAAAGCATTTGCCAGCCGCCCTCGAATATATTCGGTAATTTCAGGCGAGATCACTTCATCGCCGTAGATGGTATAGTTCTTGTTGCCCTCGTCGACCACCTAGCGGACCTTGGAAGGTATCGTACCGTACTTACCTCTACAAATTTAGCGGGGAACCATCCACGGAGTCCATTGACTTCACCGACCCAACAGTGTTCGTCTTTCTCGGAGATGATGGTGATTATGTCGTTTTTTCTGTAAATCGAGATAAGAGAAAGCGAGAGAGAGAGAGAGAGAGAGAGAGAGAGCGAGAGCGCGATCGATAAAGAGTCTGACTTACCTAAATCCAAGCTCGTCCTCATCTTGCCTAGCAAAATCGAGCAAAGCTCTCGCCTTTTTCCTTCCCACCGTCACGGCAGCTTGAAACTTCTCCACGTCTTTCACATGTGATTCTGGACTATAATCGGCCTGGAAGAGCGATGATGGGGTTTCGAAACGCCACTATGTACCTGCGTAGTAATATTCAACTCCATATCCTCATCACAGTTCATGAAATATCGGCAAATCTGGAGGATGGACTCCTTGAGGTCGACGAGGATCTCGGTTTGCCGGATGTTTTTGGTTTTGGGGTCCTCTGCCTTCTGAACGGATATGAATTTATTGAATTTTCTGTCGATCGCTCTCTCTCGCTCTCTCTCTCTCGCTCTCTCTCTCTCTCTCTCTCTCTCTCTCTCTCTTCTCTCTCTATGTCTCTCGTAAATATTCACACGCCGTCCTCAGCTCGACAAAAATTGATTTTTTTTCCGAATTTCTCGCCAAAGACGTCTATAAAATACCTACATCTTTTGAGTTGAAAATTTGCGATATGATGCTCTTGTTTCGGGTTAATTTCCTGCGCTGCATTTTCTGTTTTGGGAGATTTGTGTCCGTGGCTGTATTGACGATTAGCCCATGATCGGCCATGATTATCGCCTAAAATTGTGTTAAATTTGAGGTTATTAAACGCGTTTAAGAAGAGTTATTCATTTTCAAAACTCATTATTTCTCCATACCTGATGCTTTTTCCTCAGCTCTGTCAACAAATGGTCCGTAATAGTATACTCGAATGATGTCATATATTCCATTAACTTATCCACATCATCAATCTTGAAAAACGTGGCATTATTTTTATGTCGTAAGCTCTCAAACCTTAGCCGGCAGCTGTGTGATAGCATTAAAAATGTCGGCCGACGATTTGGTGAGATAGGCAATGTCCACAATTTCCTCTTCTCGCATTTTTAAGGCCGAGATTATTGTCTAAAACCATTCTTTAAAAGCCAAAAATTTTTTAATACCCGAAATATCGAAACTCCGCCCATATAAAATATCATATCCCAGACTCTTAATAGAGTTTTTGTCTTGAGAACCGATGCAAAGAGGGTGAGCAGCCAATTGACAGTAACGAGCGAGATCTCGACATCGTATTCCTGGAAAAGGATGTGTCCTAAAGCAATTCCGGCTTGGTTTTAGGTCTAGTTGCAAATACTTTTCATTCCCTCAAAAAGCAAAAAATTCTTCCGTTGCCGGGAATCGAACCCGGGCCTTATGGGTGAGAGCCATAAATCCTAACCACTAGACCACAACGGAGGATAGGGGAGTGGTTCGGAAAACTGTTTATGAAGCCTCGGAACGAATTGACAGCTTCTTCACTGCTTTTTTTGCGAACTTGCGTATTCCCATGACTTCTGATAACAAGTTTCTGCCAAACGGAGGGTAACAGCTTCATTCTAGCTTTTTTCGAAAGATAAAATCTTATAACTACCTCCAGACCCATTTTTATAAATTTCCGAACTCACCATCGCCATCCGAATCACTTTCTCCCATCTTCCCATCCCCTCCCAATCTTTCAAAAGCAAAAAGTTCTTCCGTTGCGGGGAATCGAACCCCGGCCTTATGGGTGAGAGCCATAAATCCTAACCACTAGACCACAACGGAGGATGGGGGAAAGGCGCGGGGTGGGGTACTAATGCTTAGCGCTGCCCTTCGAGATTGGCAGCTGCCCGCGGAGGGGGATTCCCTCACTCAATACACCCACCTCGAGTGATCGGAACAAATCGGGGACGTGCGTTTTCATCAAATGGCTCGCCACGCGTTCGTCTGCCTGAAATTTTGAGAAATGTATACCTTAAGTAATAAAATAAGGAAATGTAAATTGGCTTGTTTAGGTTAATCTTACCTGTAGCCCTAGTAACGATTGGGAATAGTAGTTGGCCGGCAGTATATCCTCTATTAATGCGGCCATCATCCAAAAAGTGGTTTCTTCGGAGCAGAAGAGTAGTAGGTTGGACACGACGACACCCATTCCTTGGCAATATCCAAGATCAGGGTAGATGTAGGCGATCGCTTTTAGGAGTCTAAATAGCCAGTTTTGAAAGCGATAGAGAGGTCGCGAGAACGAGAGAGAGAGAGAGAGAGAGAGAGAGAGAGAGAGATATTTTGATTTATCACCTCCGCAACGCGTCTATACCCGGCGAATTTTTCTTCCAAAAGCAAATATTATTTGGTAGCGTTCGGAGTAAATCCCGCTCTATCTAAAGTTTGAAGTTAGAATTTCGGGATTTTCTGTTCCGTCCGAATACCTGCACCCCAATCGTGGGGTTGTCTTTAGCCGTCTGGCGTAGCACATCGGAATAAGAATACCCGGCTTGTTTTTCTTTATCAAACGCTCCGATTAGCCGTGGCCATAGGTATGGTCGCATCGAATGAGGGATCCCGGAGTGCTAAATCGCCCATTTTTATTAAGTTTGCGACCTTTTTAGCCTTTACATACCTTAGGACCTACAGACGTATTAAAAATATCGCTTCAGACTAATTATATACCTTAATCATAGCCTCCATTTTCTCGCCTCGAATTTTATCGATGTCCACTTTTGCCCAGGTGAGCTCCTCCTTCAAGTCGTGCGCAAATTCAAGGTGTGCCACCCATTTTAATCTGTTAAATCGAGCCGATTTTGACGAAAACTATATTAAGCCTTACTTTTCCGACGAATCTTCCACCGGAGAATCATCTTCAAACGGGTTCTGGTTTAGAGATCGAAACCCGAACTGATCAAAACTAAAAACTCCAACTTTTAGGGCCCTCTCGAAGCAGACTTACAATTCTTTCGGATCTTCTATGTAAATTGGGATTAGCTCTTTATTTATCGCGGAAAATGGCTTGCCGGAGAGCGAGAAATAAGAGGTGTGGATCGGGGCGTCGAGCTAAAAGTTTTGCATAGGCTTAGGTTAGGCTTAAGCTTAGGATTTGCTTAATCTACCTCTTTCGACGTCTCGCATATTTTTCTCGAACTCCTCGGGCACTCCTCCTCATCGTCATCCACCACGCAATCCGCATTTTTTGCGTCCTTCCCTAAACATAATTTTTTTAAGAATTCCGACGATTCCAAGGAGTTCAATTAAGCTCGACCCTCCCAAAAAACGGACCTTTCTTGTACTTGGCCATCAGCACGGCTAGCACTCCGCCTGAAAAGCAAACAGACACCATTATTTTTGGGAGGCACCCAGAAAAAGAAAGCTCGGCTTTATCAAAATTCCGCAAAAAAGCGCGGCAAACATTGGCGGAATCGCATAAAGGTGTCATGACATTTTTCGACCCGGATGGTTGAGGAATTTGGTGGGAAAATGACGTTTAAAAGATCGAAAATTCGGCATTTTATGATCTGAAAAATGAAAGGGTTTTCAGAGAACGGGCGACTGAGCGAATTATGCAAACTATTTAAAAAAATACTCAAATGAACTTGGAAAATTAAATTCAACGCCAAAAAATTTAAAATTTGATAAAACGCTAGGTTTTGGACTTAGATCATTTAAAAAATATAGAATATCATATACAAACGGCAACTACATTTTCATTTTAGTATATGTAAAAAATGAACATTAAAAAAGAGAATAGAGCGGAAAAAGGTTAAAAATATGTTGAATTAGCAAAAATTTCCATAAAAACAGAGCGAAAAACCCGCGAAAAATGACGCGGCCAACGTTAACGCACAAAATATATCGGAAAAGAAATTCTGAATTCCGCTATTTACCCTGATCCATTTTTCAAGCAGCAAGTAGCAAGAACTAAAAGTAGGAACAAGCAGCAAAAATCCCCATAAAACATGCCCACTAAAAATGACGTGCACCCTTTGGGGGGATATGTATAGGGGGAGGGCCCTGGAGGGGCCCCGTGGGGCCGCCCCGCTTCTCCCCCCCAGAAGCGCCGCGTGCCCTGCGTCTCCTCCTTCTTACGCTATCTCGATTTTCGGTTCTTTAGGATTCCCGGGGGGGGAAAGTATTCCCGGGGGGGGGAAAACAAATTTTTTTCGGCGAAAGCCTAGATTTTTGTATAAATTGCGGATGCGTTTCTAAATTGTTTTTAACTATCCCTGTGCATAAAAACTACACACATTTTAACCAAAAAAATCTAAAAAATTAAAAATTAGGTCGAAAAATAGACCCAAAATGACCAAATTTTCGACTTTTTCAAACATTTTTCTAAATTTTTCTGAAAGTTATTCTGCTTTAAATATAGTTAAAACTTACTAAAAACAATTCGAAAACACTTTATATTTGATTACTAGGTCAACCGGGACCACCAGGAAAAAATTGGTTTCCCCCCCCGGGAATACTTTCCCCCCCCGGGAATCCTAAAGAACCCGATTTTCAGAAATTCCGATTCCTCCAATTTCTTCGCCTCTCTAGCCACCTCCCGTTCTCTCGATTTTCTTAATGTTCAGTGTTCCCTCATGGCTAATAACGTGATGGACAGCTCGGCGATAGGGTTTCCGGTTGTTGCCAGGGGTTTTATGGATTTTTTGTCTTTTCTAGTATCATTAAATAGCTAGCAGACCTTGATTTTCAAGACTTTACCCTTAAATATTGTGAAGATATTTTTAAGGTACTGTTTTCTACAAAACTTAGACTGTTGTCACAGCTTGAGAGCCCTTTTTATGGCTATGTTTCTAAGCAACACCTCTAGGAATTGTAGATACTCAAAACTTTTGCTTTTAACGTTAATTATTTTCATTTATTTTTGATTTTGAACATTATTCATTACAGTAATTTATATTTTTTATCTGCAGTTTTCTTTGCAGGAATCCAGGTTAAAAGACGACGGAATCTTCGAAAACCCCGGAATTTTTGCTTCGTTAATAGGTGTACTGTGTAATGTACTTCGAAATCTTTTGGGTATATAATTCAAGTCAAGCTTACCTGTCAATTCGCTAAAACCCGTCCGCTCCACCGTAGCCCCCGCTCGCAAATAGATGGCGTGTGCCAGTGAGCCATTGCACGGCACGGGTCGGGTTCCTATTTACTCGCACACCTGGCCAGGTAAGTGCCACGAATTGTCGATTTTTTAGTATCGAATACTTCTTAATTTTAAGCACCATTAAAGCCTCCAAAATATCGACTTCTTCCTTAATTCCGTTACGCTACTGAGGACATATCGATATTTTCAGCAGCCAATTAACTTTCCAATTATATACCGAGGCCATGGTAGATTTTCTTCAGTCTCCGGCGGCCGTTTTTTGGTGCTTTTAAGAACCATTGAAGCCTCCGTAGTACCCTTTTTACTCTTAAATTCCGCTACACTACAGAATACAGAAAAATTTAACCCAATCGCTTATATTCTACACCTTTCTTCTCGAATTCCGCAAGACTACAACGCACACCCAAAAATTTTAGCCCGCAACTTGCCAAATGGAGAGCGAGGTCCTAAGTGAGAGCTCGAGCACCATCGGTGATGACTGGTGAGTATAACTTAACCCTAAAAAAGGATACCTATCGTAATTCCACGTTTTAGTGAAGTAGTACTGTTCAAGTAGGTGGTACATTTTACTTGTTTCTCCCGGGCTTGAGTTTTTCGGGTCGCAAAAATCAAAAAATTATTAAATTTTAGGGTAAAAGACGCCAACGGAAGCGGATCTGCAGATTCCTCGTCCGTGCGCGATGTGGTCGACGTCTTGAAGGAGTTCAGCTCGGTTGAGGGCTCACCGGTGCAAAAAGAAAGCGAGTTGCAAGCGAGGAAATGGATTGTAAGTTGGAGTTAGCGGAATTTGGGTGATTTTAAAGGGGGTAGAAAGTACGAGAACGGACGCCATGCATGCGCTAGGTCTCGACAGCTACGTTAAAGGTACACTAAAATCTCGTTCAAAAAGTTCGGTCGCGGTAGTAAATTTGGGCTCTCTGCCGCAGCTAAGCCGGCCCCGTCTTATTTCCTCTCCCCCTCCCCCCTTCCCGTCTCTCCCTTGGCCTAGTGGTCCAAGGCGCTGCCCCAAGCTGGCAGTCAGGGTTCGGTTTTGCTCCGCGGCAAGCGCCTACCGTAACCCTGTTTGCTATCCTGCGGACGGTTACCGGCCGGTAACCAAACCAACGAGACTTTAGTGTACCTTTAAGCGCCTAAACACGGGTTAAATCAAAATCGCTTGGCACAGCGTGTTTTTTTTCTAATGAAAATGGTGTAAATTGCAGTGAAGCGGAGCTGTCTAACCCAATGTCTAGACCTAGTAAATGCAAGTGATTGATTTTCGCGTTTTTTGCACCTTTAAAGGGACAGGCACGCCAGGAATTTATTAAAACGAAGATCTACAAAGCAAAAACTTTTATTTAGCGCCTCCTCGGCATGGCAAATCGACCTGACCCCCTCTCCGACTGGGATCAGCTCTACAACCTCAAAAGTCAAAGCCAATTACGGTAAGAAAACGGCTACGGTATTTAAAACTGTTCTAACCTTTAGAAATGACTGTCGCATTCTGGCAAAACAAACTGGGAACACCAAATCCGTCCCTGAACTTGAGTCATTTTTGACGTTGTACTGTAAGAAAAGGAATATGGACTACGATGTAAGTGAATCTAGTACTGCCCTAAAAAGCAAAACAAATCGCATAAAAATTTATATTTTTAGAAAGATTCCGGCTGGACTCTCGTACTGGAAAAGCTGCTAAAGTTTGACTACCCGATGGAGCACTTGTTCAACATCTTCTTCGGGTTGACGACGAAATATATGCCAAGGTGAGGAAATTTTAAAGACATGCTTAGTTGGCTTAGTTTAGGCTTAGCTTACACAAAACAAAGGAATTACTGTCATTTTTCCTAAAAATCATTTTTCCTAAATTCATTTTTCCTAAATTCATTTTTCCTAAAAATCATTTTTCCTAAAAATCTTTTTTCCTAAAAGTCATTTTTCCTAAAAAGCATTTTTTATAAAATTCATTTTTCCTAAAACCGGTTAAATATCGAAAAAGTCTCGGTTCTTTAGTATTATGCATCCAAAAATCGAAATTTTTTTATAATAGATTTAGATATGCCTAGAATGGTATTTCTTCATCTTGCATAATTACCATTTCGCATAACGCTATTTCGCATAATTGCATTTCGCATAATTTTTATTCCGTATAACGGTGATTTCGCATAACGATGATTTTGCATAACGCTTATTTCGCCTAACGGCGATTTCGCATAGCGGTTATTTCGCCGAATCGTGATTTCGCATAACGATCATTTGGCATAATTTTCATTTCACCTAGCGATGATCTCGCATAACGTTTATTTTGCATATTTTTTAGTTAGTGGCAACCAAGAGCAAAACAGGGCGTTTTTGATGATATGAAGTGTAATCACGGTATAAGACAATCGAAATGCCTAGCTACCATTTACGCGGATTCCGCATCTGTAATCAGTGTAATGCTTTTGACCTAGATTTGCGGTCAGATTTGCTAGTTTACACAGGGATACTATCTACAAGGTAGCATTTTTGGCAAAGCCCTTCAAAACAGACGTATACCTCATGGGTCATGGATTTTGAGCAAGCTTGGGATATCTGCAAGGAAGCGCGCAAAAAACCGCGCAGGCAGATTCTTTTTCATCGATGGCTGATTACTAAGCTAGAGTTATATATACAATCGACTGCCAATGGCGGAAAGTATGCGAAATGGCGGTTAGGCGAAATCAAAATTATGCGAAATGGTCGTTAGGTGAAATGAAAATTATGCGAAATGATCATTATGCTAAATCACGGTTAGGCGAAATCACCGTTATGCGAAATAAGCGTTATACGAAATAAGCGTTATGCGAAATCACCGTTATGCGGAATCAAAATTATGCGAAATGCAATTCTGCGAAATGGCGGTATGCGAAATGAAAATTATGCGAAATGAATGGAAATCGCCTAGAATGGTCATGGGAAGTATTTTAGTTGCGCGTTTAGCCTAGATTTGGTGATTTGAAGTGAAAAAGGATCAATGATAATAAGAAAGATTTTCGATAAAAGCCTATTAATAACCAAACCGAACAAATACTGCTTAAAAATGACAACATTTGGTCTTTCTTGATGTTTTTAGCATCCCTATTGAATGAAAAATTTTAGGAAAAATGAACATAACCCAAAAGAAAGTAATCTAACGTTTCAGGGAAACCAAGCCGGGCGCTCAGGTATTTGACCTGTTCCGACTCCTCCTACAGTACCACGAACCGGAGTTGTCGTCGCATTTGGAGTCTATTAAGTGCTCCCCACACACTTATACCAGGTAATACAAGCATAAGATTTTCTACACGATTTTTGTAGCCTTGAATTAAGTATGCCCATGCAAATTTCAGGACCTGGTTTGCCTCCCTCTATGCCTGCGCAGTTGATGATAAATCTTGCGGTGTACTTTGGGACTTGTACATAGAAAGGGTACGTACTACAGGGAGAGCCCGCGAGAGAGCGAGATAAAGAGCGACAGAACTCATTCAACATTTTCAGGGCGATCCCTTCCTCGTCTTCTTCCTCGCCCTGGCGATGACCATCAACGCGAAGGAGCAACTTTTAGCATACACGAAAGATCAGCGGTTAGTTGATCAGAGCTATTGGTCCAGATAAAAGATATTATTAATTCAGAGACCAAATTAAAGCATACGTTTTAGGGAGGAAGCCGTCAAGCTCCTCTCCGAACTTCCGAAAAGCCTGACGGTAGATGACATCCCGGATTTCATCGAAGTCGCCTTGTACTATTCGCTCCGGACACCGCAGTGCTTGAGAGAGGTGAGAGAGAAAGCGAGATAGAGAGAGAGGAAAAGAGAGAGAGAGAGCAAGTGAGAGAGAAATCAAAAACAAGGTTCAGGACTTCCACGGAACCCTCTTCGGAGCGAATCTACTCGACGATTTTGCCGAAAAATCGATCAAACAAAGAATATCCTTGTCGGTGACGGCCAACGAACTCTTGCGGAAAGATTTGAATACCGCCATTGAAGCGGTGAGTGCCTTTAACTTTCATATAAAACGAATGCTAAACAATGACCATAAGGTATCCATAAAGTATAATATAAAATTAGAAACTCTCCAATTTTGTTAGATGCTCCCCACCTCGTATTTTGTCATCGATTGTCGAAGTGAGGAGGCATTTCGGGCTGGCCAAGTCTACGGATCATTCAATCTCGATGCCCAATTGGTAAGTTGAGGTGTAATTTGGAGCGTAGCGTTGCGATATATCTCTTATGGTTTTTACATAACTTTTTATAGTTTGTCGACGCCCCTGAACACTTTGCGATGGCACATAAGGCCCAAGAGGAGTACAAATCGGCTCAACACCCGGAGGATCACTACTGCTTTCTAGGTAGGGTTATTAAAATTTTAACAATGATATAAATGTTATAAACTTTATTAAAAATAAAAGATTAGAGAGAAGATATCACAAACATAATAAATGTATACCTTTTCAGGCTACGGCGACCCCGAAAAAGACCAATTTATGAACATGGTGATCTCGAAATTCTTGAGGGACGGAAAGATGCATGTTTCGTACTTGGAGGGCGGTTATAAAGGTATATCTTCAGGCTAAATTGTGAATGTTTTGATTATTCAAAAAACCAGCGAAAATTCATATAATTAAATCACGTAGGACTCCACCAAATGCTCACGGAAGCCGGGCGACTACGCGTCATTTCTTCGCACGATCCCCCGCGATGTCCGGAATGTAATACCGGAAGCCCGACGAAAAGCACATGGGTGTGTGTTAGAACGTGTTGTTTGTAGCTTGACATACTCAAAAAAATAGACTGAACTTTAAAATCGAAAATGTCTGCACTTTTTCAAGAAACGGGCGGTATTTTGACCCGTTTCAACTACGAAATTTCAGGGTCTTGTCGGCATGATGAAAAATGCAATGATCAACAAATCAGCGGCTGTTAAAGAAAAGGTTTTTCTCAAACCTCGACCCATTTACCGTATCCCTAAAGGTCCAAGAACTCGTCCAAACCCCGCCCCCAGAGTCATTCCGGCATGCCGACACGAAGGATAGGCATGGCAAGAAGTACAAGGTATGCGACAAACTTCAAAAAATTAGAAAAGCCCAAAAAACTAAAATAAATACGTTATTTTTATATTTTAGGCGTCAGAGACAATTTTGCAGGGGCTGCGAGAGGTTAGAATCGGGGATTTAGGGAGATTTTCTCTGCAAGAAATTTTTGTTTTGGGTGTCAAGGTTCATTTTCTGGGATCGGGCAATTAAAAAATTGGTTAAATACAAATTTAGAGCGAAAAATCCGTATTCTCGCTCGATGACGATGGCAGCGACGACGAACCCTTCGCGTTAAAACCCGGAAAAGCCAAGCCGGACACGGAAAAGGCAAAAGTAAGTGCAAAATATTAAAATTATGATAAATAATTGATTTTTAGGTATCGCTAGAGTCATATCTGGCCCAAGCCGATGTGCTAGAATGCTTTGAATGTCAGGAAGTGATGAAGGGCGGCCTTTTGATACCTTCACATATCGCGCTAACTCGCACTCATATGCATATCCTTCATGATGTCCTTGGAACGGTTAGTTAAACAAAAACTATATAAATAACCTTATTAAGCATTCGAATATATCTAAAATACTTTTTAATAACAAAAGTCATACTTCAAACCTTATTATTAAACTTTGAACCATGCCACAAACGATACTCTACCTGGCGCCGCTAATTAAAAATTATAATAAAAAAAAGTTATTCAACCTTAAATCTATCAAAAAAAAAATCATATTTCTATTTCTATCATAATCATTGTGCTATATAAAACAATATTTTAGTCCGGCGTCGTTACCACTGAATTCCGCCATCCCCTCCAAACTGTCATCCGCGTTACCAGCAAAAAGAAATTCCCCGAAATCCTCACCTTCAAGTTTGGCTACGAAGTATCGCCCGGAGAGAATACTATTAATGCGTCGCACAGGTAAAAATAAAACTTTATACATACTTACCAAAAATGTATAGATTCCTCGTCCCAAAGGCTGGCGAGTGCGCAAAGGCCGTAAAAACGTTCATCTTCCAGCTAAGGCCACTTCCCGAAGAATAATTCCGTTAAATTACCCTTAAAGACCGAGCTTTCAAGACAAAATGGCCAAAACAAAACAAAAACATGGTTGTGACTTCATATTCGAAATGTGATCGCTTTCTAGTTATGCCCAATTTTAAGCGAAAAACCAGGTTCCGGGTGTAGATAAAAATTATTAACAGTTTTATTTAATGTACGCTGTTCACTTGATTAGTCATACAACCCTAACCTCAAAATTCCAGCTGGTAATCGCAAAAATTAGCGCCTTACCCGCATGCGCGCATGAAATAGCCTGCCTTGCTAGGGGCGCGGCTAGGCCGACCCTCCGCCATGATTTTCGCGTTTTTTTTTTCTTTCTGTGTGCAATATATCAATGCCGTGATAAATGTGCTAAAGTATTTCTTTTCTTTCTTTTCGTGTATGTAAAAATCAACACTTTGTGCATAATTTCCGGGGAATAAAGCTTGATTTTTAGCGTTTTCAGGGCCAAATGAAAACCTGGTAACTTACCAGAACGTGTGTTATTTGTCTACTTTACAAATTTCGGATAAGTGTTTGTAAATACGATTTTTATTACATTTGGAAGCGCTGTTGTTAGGCGCGTAACGGACAGCTAGAGTTTGCTAAAAGGCAGATAGAAAAACCTAGCGTAACCGATTCGCCGAATTTGTTGCTTTTTTGTTTTCCTCCGCTTTTTCAAGTTGTTTTCCGGCATTTTCATGGCTTTTCGGGACCGGGTCATTTCCAAAATCGATGGCTTGTGCTCTCTTTTTGCTGTCCTTGCACCCGCCCCGACTTGTTTTCCCCGCGATTCGGCGCGGGCGCCCGGCCGAATGCATTCAATCCCATTTTCCTGGTATCGGCCGGATGGGGCCTGTAAATTTTGGGGTTTTCTTGCTCACTTGAAAGCCGTTCTAGCGATAGAATGCTTTTCGGGTTTGCACAGCAAAGATGCTTTTTTAACTGCAAAGCTTTGTTGATCTGCTAGCTGCCAAAACACTCAAATTCCCCGGATTTTTCACTCTTTAGCGCTCAAGGTTGCTTATGAGATTTCCCGGCCGAGAACATCCTCAAAAAGGCTTGCGCAATGTACTCAGAAACGCGCAGCCTTATTTTTACCAACTCTGATGATCGTTGACTCATGGGAGTGGCGATTTCCACATGTTAGTCTTTGCGCGACAAACACGTCAGCCGAGCCCCCATTTCGCTGCTCCACCTCCCGCTCCGCCCAATCTCTTCCGGATCGCCACCCGGGGGATTGGGGTATTGCTGGCGATTTCTCCTTGAACTTTCACCGTTGTATGCGACCAGTTGTTGGGCGAGAAATCAACTAGATTGTGGTGGCAGTAGGTTGACTTGTTTATCTGGGTTCTTTATTCTTTTTGTTATACTATTGTGAATTCCGTTTTCCATTTCGTTTCATTACACTAGCCACTTAGGCATTTTTCAACAACCCTCTTTTTCCAGATCACAGATGACTTCTGTCGTTTCGGAAGATATCACGTTCCCCTGGGGACAAAATGCTAACCCACTCGAGCAGCAGACCGGCCAGTGGAGGACGGCGATTTTCGAGGTATAAATAGCTTATTTTTACTGACTATTTGATTTTTTTAGGATATGCAAGAATCTCTCGACGGCAACAAGCTCTACCACCTCTACGAACCGCAAACGGAGCAGGAGGCCGGAAAGTAGTGTTGTTTTTGTATTTTCAAAGTTATATATTTTTAGCAACCCGAAATCCCGTGACAAGTGCATCGTGCCGTTTGACACAATCTCTCGATGCTTCATGCACCCCATTTGGTTGCCGCAGGCTAACGGTGAGCATTATGAGATTTCTTTACTGGATTAATGTGCTCGTTGTTTTTCAAAAACTGTTTTTAGGTCGCGGCAAGTTCCTGTTCTCCCTGAAGTGCCCATCGCAGGCCGGCGGCACCGCCATGATCCTGGTGACCGAGTCGAGCAGCTACGAGGGACAGACCAGGGTATAAAACTAGTCTCTAGGCTTTAAGAAAAAGATTAACTTTTCTAGCTCCACATCTGGCGTCTCGACTTTGACCAGCAGGGCACCAGCATCACCGGCTGCCGCCCCATCAGTGACGTCAACACCGGAAACGGCGGTTAGTGACGAACAATCTGATTTTTTATGGGTGTTTAGGCGCCTACATTTGCACGATGCGCGAGGACGCCCCGGAATGTATCGTGTTGTACAGCCCTGGATTGAATGTTCGTTTTATTTTGATTTGTCGTTTTTAGACATCTTTTCATAATTTTATCGCCTAATTTAGGTAGCCACCGTGAACTGCATGTCCGACTACCCGATCTCACCGGAAAGCTTCCAAGTTTACGGCGCCGATCTGTCTCACTTCTACGATGGATTCTTGAATGCTGGGTAATTTGAACGTAAATTTTCCATTTTGTTGTCGTTTAGATCAGTGTATCTCCTCTCCGCCTCCCCGGACGAGCATCTCGACTATTCTCGTGTGCACACGCTGAACCTGCAGAGCCGGCAGATCAATACTCACCAGGTTTGTATTCTTTCGGTGCTGAAATTTATTCATTTTTTAGTGCCGTGGTGACCCGTCTCGCGGATTCCCGCCGGCCCGAAAGCAGGCTGGATTGGCCTCGGTTCCTGGTAAGTAGTTTTACTTTGTAGAAATTTTTGAGAACTGTTCATAATATCATTTTTCAGGCTTCATCTTGCTGGCCGGTGGCGAGGTGGCCGATCAGTACAACGTGCATCGCCTGCAGGACTACTGGGTGCTGAACTGCGACACGTTCGAGTGGACCCAAGTGCCCGCATCGATGCCGTGCCCCCTCATCGAGCCCCGCATCACTACATGCAATTCGGGTACTGGTTTTACCATATTTTTGAGCTTGATCTTTTAGGCAAAGTCTACCTTTGGGGCGACCACGATGTGCCGCTCCCCGGCATGTCACAGCAGGGAACGCATCTGCGCATTTTGAAGGTGAGTGCAATATGAATGGTTTCCCCCAGAAATTTTTGAGCGCGATTGAGTGGGAAAGTGCATTTCAAAGGGCGCAAAAAATGCAAACAAAGAGTCCAACCGATGGGCGTGTCTATAGAATTTCGCTACATGTAAACAATGCCGCGTTTAGTCACTCGAGGGAAAAGGATTTGACCATGAGTTCGAATGAATGATTTTTCAGTGTTCGACAATTTTTATTAGAGTTTATGTTTTTAGCTAAATATCCCCTTTTCAGGTGTCCGGCATGGAGAACTACAAGACGCCTCCCCCCGTCATACGACCAAAGCGCCGGCCATTCCGTGCCCAGCTATCAGGTATCGATTGTTTTTCAAAGCATTCTTTTTTTGTTATTGGGGGTAACTCGCGTACATTAGCTGTTTTAGTAAATCAGCTTTCCTTGTCCCCATTCTGCTGCCCCCTTTCGCTTCTAGCGTAAGTTGGCGGTGTTGTGGGTTGTGGCTAATGGCGACTAGGTGTTTCCGGTGACGGGCTGTACCTTATTAGTTGTCTTGAGAGCTTTCACTAGGACGATTTATTTTATTGTTTTGCAGCAAAACAACACTCCCACGCCTCCCGCCTATCCGTCGTACCAGCCGATGGGTGGACAACAGCAGCCCGCGCCGCAGATGGGCTTCAACACTGGCGGCAGCAGCCCGTATCCGCAAAACCAGAGCAGCCCTTATCCACAGGGCGGTACGGCACCCTATGGAGGACAGGTTAGTGCCACATTATGTTTGCTGATCGAAATTTCTATCTTAGCCGAGCTACCCGACACAAGGCGGCAGCTACCCCCGTCAGGACTACGGCGGCAACCAAGGAGGTCGGTCAATGAAGCCATCAGTCCCGTTGAATTGTGCCCCCGACTCGGATTCCGATGACGAGCGCCCCCCTTACCAATTTACCGCCCAGAGCCCTGACACGACTATCGCCGATCGGGAGCGTAGATTCTGTCTGCTGTTTTGCATCTTTTTCTTGACCTGCACGATCACCGGATTGGTCATTTATTTCTGTTCTAAATTCCACTTTCTCCTCTAACCACTTCTCGCCCTATTTTTTTGTATTTCTAGTCGTTTCGAACGCTTCCGGGTATCGTTTGCTTTGTCAACCTAGTTGAATGGTTATCACATTGGACACCGAGATAAACATACACACATGACACTAGTTTTGTATGGAAAATTGGCTTTAGCCCGTAATTACAGCAGACCTGGAATTATCATTTCAAGCGCTACGTCACGTTAATCTGAAGCGCATTGTGGACGTTACGATTTCTTTTTGGTTCTAAAAAACCACAATTTGTTTGCAGGGAATAATATTTACGTGTCGATATTTTCTAATTTCTAATTTTCAGAGTATCAACCCGGCCCGGCTCCCGGCACCCAAGCCTACTACCCCCCGCAGAAGAAGGACAAGGATTGCTCCATCATGTAGATAGCCAACCCTTCCCCCCCCTTCTCCCAGTTGTATAAGATTGTACAAGTCCCATTGCCCCCAAAAATGATGTGTAAATGCCCCACATTGCCCCACTCCCAAAAATGTCCTCCACTTATTTTCCTGGTGTTCACTGGTGATGTGTAGCTTTGCATAATGTTGTGTGCTGCTTTTTGGTAGATTGCCTTTTGATAAACTTTTGCAACGCGCCAGTGCAGGAGATGGAAACAGGGTGGTGGTTGTTGCCAGTGGATATTGATACAAAAATACCAAAAATACTCCTACAAGGCTTTTAGTGGTTATTCCTACGGCAGGATGCACCGGATTTTTGTAAATTGTAAGCAGGCCAGCACGTCGTTATACGCAGCGCCAAGTCTTCTCGACGGCACGTCGATATTGGTGCGTTTTTGAAACTTTTGGAATTTAAATTAGATTATGCTACCTAATTACGTTAATTTTGGCATTTAGTCATTCCAAGCGCGTGGCCGACGACGAACGCTAACACCGCATCCCTGGAACGCGCCAGTCTACGCCCCGGGCCCAGCTATCTACGATGAAGCCTACGCTCAAGTCCTGGAACTCGAAAGAGAAGCCCAGGCCAAGATTGATGAAGCCAAAGCCCTGGAAAATCCTGTAGATCAGGTACTTCAAAATCTTTTATTGGTTTACGTACTTTGCAGCTCACCGCCGTCCAAACTGGGCAAGTCAAGAGGGTCGGCTTGGTTGCGACGAAACTAGGTAGCGGTTGAAACGCGTTTTTATATTGTTTTTTTTAGGGATGATCCCCCAATGGACAAACACTGGCGACAGAATGCTTTGCACGCTGCTGCACGTGCAGGATAACCATGTGGTTAGTTGGTGTGTTTAGAAAAATGAATGTTTCCTAGATATCACTGACCTCTCCGGAAGACTGGTATCGGCAATCGATCGTCGGGAAACGAAAAGCTTTTGGGAGATTTGGGCCGATGTGGAAGGTTCGTAGAACGCAATACAGTAAAATTATGTTCGTTTTAGGTGACCGTTGGAGCTATCGATACCGATGCAAACGAATACCATCGACTCTACCGACGACTATTCCAAGATGCTGGGGTTCCGGTGAAAAAGGAGCTTGCATGTAGGTTTCAAAAAACTTATTCTTTAATTTTTTTAAGCTTTCCTCGTCTCCCCGGATGCGCTTCCGGCGCTTGGACAACGACTTGATGTTCGACACTTCAACGTTGGCCAATACATCACGGCCACCGGAAAAACGATCGACTGGGGCTTCCAGGGAGCTATGCATCGATGGGGTTTTCGAGGACAGCCGGAGAAGGGGTAAGGATAGAAATATTTTTTGAGCTTTTGTTCAGGACGACCAAATCCCATCGTCGTGTCGGCTCGATTGGATCTGTTGGTGATGCGCGCGTTTGGCCTGGAAAACGGCTACCCGGTCATATGGGATACGAGTGGAGAATGGTGCCCGGGATTCAGGTATGTTTACTAGCGTAATTTCCGTTTTTTAATTTTGGAAAGTAAATTAATAGGCTATTTTTTAGATTGTCCGCATGAATCTCGACAAACAAGTGATCTACGTCAAGGGCAACGTTCCTGGTGATGTCGGGGAGAAACTGCTGCTCAAGGATTGCTTGCAAGCGGAAAGGCACCCAAAGGTTGATCGATTTTTGGAAGCAATAACTTTATTTTAAGGAACTCTTCGTCCCCACCTGGAACTCTACCATTATCCCAACCACCGAAGAGGGCGAGCCGATCAACAACCCGGTTTTCAAATACAATGAAGCCTTCATCCCAACCCTATTCCGGTAAAATTTAGCGTATTTTGCAAAACAACATCTTTTCAGTTTTGACTCGCCGAGCATCGTCTTCACCGAAGAGCACGGCAAGAAGGGCTCGGCCCGTGACAAGACCAAGGCCAAGATCGCCAAAGTCAAGAAATAATCCCTCTCTGCTGCCCCCATCATTATATTCCCGTATCTCTTTTTGCTTTATTAGTGTAACTAGTGCCTTGTTTTAGGATTTTTTTTTGTTGCGTTCCGTCCCGTTCTCTGTTGATAAAGATATCGAAAACCATATAATTTATCAGACGAAAACGATTGCGATGATTGCGATAATTTATTGCTTGGTGTAGACGCGAGTGGCCTTGACCGATCCGCTAACCATCTCAATGTGAAGCTCGTTGCCCTCGATCCATCGGGTGATTTCGGAGGGCTTATCACTGCTCTAAACATTGTTGCGGTTTCGCTTTTTTCCGACCTTGATGGGAGTCTGCTTCTGGTGGATCTTGTGCCCATCAAAGGTGAACACAGTCTTGAAGTGGCGGCCGTCAGCCGTCTCCTCCTCGAGCTCCTTATCGATGGTGAAGGTGATCTCGTAGTTCTTCAGGGTGGACTCTTGGCGCCAGGTGAGGGTTTGACCCTGTAATCGGTTACTAGGTGCTATAATCCCAATAATCATGATTGCCTAGATGGGACCGCGATTTGCAATTTCATTAGTTTCAGGCGACTTACATCGACGGTAATATGGAGGGTGACTTTGAGGTTAGCGGCAGCCTTGCGGGTAATGAGGCCGACTCCGACTTCCTAAATTCAGGGGGTTTCTACCATTTTTGTAGCTGACCTTCATGTACTCCTCGAAGTTCTCCTGGTGGGACTGGACCCAGGTGCCGGCGAAGTCGTTGAGGGACATTATTAGCTAGAAAATAGAAAACTGTGGTCGTTGAATAGAAAGATAATAGAGGGAGGATTAAGGGGTTATTACAAGAAAGGATTTTTGGGCCAGTTTGAGTCAGTAAATTCAGCGAAACGAGGGCATAAAGCTTGTCAAAATGTCAGCTTAATGGAAATACTTTTTGCAACACCTTCGCGAAGCCCCCGTAGTACTCGAGGAACGAGTCTTTGCCGGGTTTTACGACGTGTCAGCGCACCCCGGCCGTTTTCCTATAAATACGATAGCTTATCAGGCCGCAGGGGGTAGTTGACAGTTTCTCGGGCGGTCAGAGAAGCCCTTATTTCGCCAGCCGATTTCCAGGAGAACGGAAAGCGCCCGGCAAACAAGGGATGAAACAACAATCTCGGTCGCGTGGACTTTGTACGGTCCAAAAAATACCACGTTCATAATACAAAACCGGGGAATTTGATTTGTAGTTGTGATGATGCAAGCGGAGGATGACTGGAGGATTATGACCACTACGGGGCTACAAATCGCTGCTAATTTGCTTTTCAAGAAAGCTTCACAGTTAGAGTTGGTCGGGCATTTGTGGAGGAATTTCAGAAGAAAACAAAATTTGGTTCTATACCGGCAGCGGGGATTTTTCACGGAATCGGGGATTTTTCCCGGAATCGGGGATTTTTCCCGAAATCGGGGATTTTTCCCGGAATAGGGGATTTTTGCCGGGGATCACCGGAATCGGGGATTTTTCACGGAATCGGGGATTTTTCACGGAATCGGGGATTTTTCCCGGAATCGGGGATTTTTCCCGAAATCGGGGATTTTTAAAATCAGGCAAATTGGCCGAATTTTGGAGCCGTCGAAATCGGGGATTTTTGAATTGGCTGTTTGGGCCGGGCTAAAATCCCGGATTTCAAATTTTCTGGAAATACCGAATAACACTGTTTTTTAAACCCTGTTATGCATATGTTTGCCATTTCCACCCTAATTTGTGTTTTTTCGGTGTTTTAATCCATAATTGCCGTGCATGAAGCTAATAAAGCAGGCAATTTATTGATAGGGAAGTTGAAGATGGCATTTAGTGCTTGGTTTACAGATGATAGGTCTCTCTAGCCCTCTTGTCTCTAACATCTAGTTTAGCCCACTGAAAAAATCCGTTTATACGCGGATCGCGAAGTCTTGGCCGAATTTCACCAATTCGCCAAGTCCGAATATAAACGGATGGCCCGTTGGTATAATATATCGATGGGTTTGTCTTCTGCTTTTCCCAATCTCATTATAAGCCTAGGCTTCCAAGATTCATCCGACCTGGCAATGTTATGTCCTGTCGCTTCAGACCTACCTTCCACAGATCCCGGTAGCCCAATTACCTTGCTTTATAAGGATTCTTTTCAGATCTATGTGATTCCCGAATGGTGGTCTGTAGAGACCTCCTTGATTGGTATATCGAAGACTGGAGCGATTCGGTATCTATGCTTCCAGCTTTGTCCCACTATGTTGTCATTACAGGCTGCTATCTGCAGCTCGTTCTTTGGCGCCTAAAGGACGCCTGGATGAATAACCCGTTCTTTGTCCAGGTACACATTGGATTTCCTTAACTTAACGGATCGCCAAGATTATCCACTTAAACATAAATTTTTCAGATCTGCCGCCGCCAGTTGTCGCCCTCTCCCTATCATCTGTAAACCAAGCACTAAATGCCATCTTCAACTTCCCTATCAATAAATTGCCTGCTTTATTAGCTTCATGCACGGCAATTATGGATTAAAACACCGAAAAAACACAAATTAGGGTGGAAATGGCAAACATATGCATAACAGGGTTTAAAAAACAGTGTTATTCGGTATTTCCAGAAAATTTGAAATCGGGGATTTTAGCCCGGCCCAAACAGCCAATTCAAAAATCCCCGATTTCGACGGCTCCAAAATTCGGTCAATTTGCCTGATTTTAAAAATTCCCGATTTCGGGAAAAATCCCCGATTCCGGGAAAAATCCCCGATTCCGTGAAAAATCCCCGATTCCGTGAAAAATCCCCGATTCCGGTGATCCCCGGCAAAAATCCCCTATTCCGGGAAAAATCCCCGATTTCGGGAAAAATCCCCGATTCCGGGAAAAATCCCCGATTCCGTGAAAAATCCCCGCTGCCGGTATAGAACCCAAAATTTGTACAGTTGGTAGCAGCGGATCGCCTAGTAATTTTCTTGCTTGCGTAAAAGTTATTAATTTTTCAAAATTGGTTAACTTTAGTTTATTGCCCTAATTTTAAGAAGTATTAGAACTTTTATAGCAACTAGATACAAACTACCATATGATTACTGATTTGATTATTTTAGGAGGGGTTTTTAAAGGTCCTAGCAGCGATTTCCGGCACCGATACGTGAATGCTTGGTGGAACAAAATGACCGTAAAATGTATTTGAAATGACGGCTTGTCTTCGCCGCTCGATTGCTGATATTATTCTCCGCCTCCCTGTTTGTCCGCTTGTTATTCTGCGCGGTGATTCATAATTTTTTTCAGGCAATCCCACCCTGCCGACGGCCCTTCTTACTCACGGCCCCCTCTACAACCGAGGGCCATGAACCGAGTGCCCGCGACAAATTTTCAACATCTAAAGGACGAGCCCGAGTTGCTGCGTCGCTTTCGGGTAGCGATTAAGTGACGGGATTTTAAAATTAACTGCTTTAGGAGGATCTTGGCCGGGACAAGCATAATCCATTTATACAAATGTTGGCTGTTAGCGCCATCACGCGCCCGGTTTGTTGAGAAAACCTCAGATAAATGGGAATTTTTTTCTAGTTCGGATCGCCAACTCTTCAAAAACTCGCCGCGCGACTTGTTCTAGCAACTGTTGGACGATTGGACGACGGTTACCTATCTAATCCGGCGGTGTACGCTTGCCAAGTGGAGACTGCTTCTGAAGAAGAATTTCTAAAAATGCTCGCCGAATTTCTCAGTGGAAGGTGAGGGGATGACGCTAGATTATTTTTTGAATTTAGGTTGCCTTTCAAGACCTCGTTCGACGACTATGCATTGCTGACGTTGACGGTGTTCATTCAACGGGCTGCAAAATCCAAGAAGGTCCCGAGGACTTCGGTGTTGAGCCTTCTTTTCATGGTATTGAAAAGTCATGTAAATATGTTAATCGTCAAATTTAGACAATAAGCATAGCGCAGGTGCGCTCCGAAGATTTGACGCATCTTTTGAAGGGCTGCCTGAAGGCGTTGGTCTGTAGCGATGAGGAAAAGCGAAAAGTGGGTTGAATAAAAAATTTAAGCTAAAATTTCTTCAGTTATTTTGCGAGCTTTTCACCGAGCTACCCCCAAGAACTGTAGCAAAATATTACTTGTTGGCTCAACTCCTTCCGTGCATCAAGGAGGAGCAGGTTTCCATTTTCACCATTTCAAATGTTTTTTTTTTAAAGTTCATCGCAATAGCTGACGATTTGGAAAAAGAGCTGCTGTTTTGTGCGGAGGATCAGGTAATAAATTGTTCCCTGGAAAAATATAAGATTTGTCTAGATGATTTGCAGCGCTTCTTCATGTCTAATCTCGGCCTTGACTGCTGAGCGCCTGGCGTTTGTCGACTGCATAATTTGCCGATTTTTGATGCAAAACTCTACGTAAAGATTGAAGAAATAAAAAATAATTGCGTAATTAAGTGCCATTCGTACGAATGTCCTACGGTGCTGGGTGGCCCGGCTGGGAAATCAGAAAAACGGGTTGGAGCTGTTCAGGAAGATTATCGAGTACGGGGAGTCGATCTTGGGCGACGAGGCGAGGGAGATTGGTGGGTTTAATTGGAAAATCTCTCTTTTTCATTCCTAGCCAGGGCTGGTTTCATTTCATCTATAGGGGTCATACATCAAGTATGGGGGGGTCATAGATCAAGTATGTGTGGGACATAGATGCCAAGTATACCCCCTATAAAATGGGGGTATACTTCGAGCTTTGGTACCAGCCCAGCTTTTATTACATTTATCAAATGAAGCAAATTAAATTCTAGCTGAGCTCTGGCCTCCTTCAACCGCAGATGAGTACGAGAATTTGAGCTGCATCTCGGCTGATTGGGCCTGGCGCGAAGCAGAAACGCCAACAACGTTGAGAGACCGAGCGATGACTGTAGGTTCTTTCATTTTAGTAAAACCTGGATTTTAGGCAATGCTAGCGACAGCTCATGTCGCTCTTCAGGAGCGGCTAAAAACGAAGAATAAAGTCTGGGATCCATTGTTGAAAGTCGAGGTGAGATAGGTTAGGGAAAAAGGATATAACTGTTTTTTAGACTCTAAAACAGTCTCTGGTTTGGCCGCTAGATTCAGTCAGGGCGCTCGGCTTTTCCCTGCTCGTTGCTAATGACCAGCGCTGCAACATGTTTGAAGGTAAAAGCTAAGACTTAAAGACCTTTGAATTCTAGGCTCATTGGATCAGCCAACGGCCACGCTAGCCTTTATCCACGAAAATCTGACGACCCAGAACTCGGCGCTGGAAGACGCGATTCGAGCTCAAATTAAAAAGCTTTTCCTCGATTTGTCGATTCCGGAAGAGGAGGGGTGGAAGGAGTCGAAAATCAGTGGTACTTTCAAGATTGCCAATCAGCAGGAGCTTGATAAGGTTTTCGAGGAGACTGAAAAGCTTTTTGAGTAAGTAAAGATTAAAAGAAGCCCTAAATATTCGGTTTTAGCAAGTCCGGCTCACGTTCCGAGGAGCATTGCCCCCAATTCTCGGAGCTGGCCACGAATTTGCAGCAGCACGGGCTGACGGTGGATTCGTTTTCGAAGGAAGTTCAGGTGTGAATAATTTTGAACGCGTTAAAACATATTTTTCCAGACTCGATTAAAGTCCGCCGCTGCCGCGATGTCGGCCAACGAGGCTTTGGGAACCTCCAGGAACATAGAGCGCTTATGGTACAAAAACTGGCTGTTCTTAAAGTCTTAAACTCTAGGAAAGCGGTGCTGCGGACTCGCGAAAAGTCGATTGTCGATCATGGCACCGAATTGTTTGCCCCACTCTTTCTAAAAGACCGTCGCGTGATTGAGCCGATTTTTGTGAAGGTAAGGTTAAAACTCCAGTAAAAGACTTGCTTTTGCTAGACCATCAAGCTTGTGGTATCGCCGATTTCATCTACGAGAACTCTCGCCTTGTCGAAAAGCCTGTGGGCGTGCTGTCAAATCTCAGTCTACAATTTTGTGAAGCTTTGGGACCAATTTGAGGTATTTAGCTTTTTAGGTTGTTTATTCGAGGTTTTTAGGCAATTTTACGCGACTGCTTCACCTACAACCCCGTCATTTCTGCTCGAGTTTTAAAAATAACAAAGTACTTCATGTCACGCGAGCTTTGCCGTAACTCTCTTACGGATTACTAGAATTTAACTTATTTTAGCATGGTCAAAAGATCGACCTGCTCTCGTCTTTTTGTTCAAGACCTGCCTGTCCGTTGCCGGGAAGGCGGAGGATTTTCTGACAAGAAGCGCGGCGCGAATTTTGTTTGGTACGGTTAAATCTAAAAGTTATTTCAATTTTTTTAAGGTTTTGTCGCAAATCTCATCTGGGATCGCCGGGAGACTTGTTTCTACTACGAATTGCTAGTGGACGATTGGAAAGATGTGGTGAAAATGGCAATGGAGTGCTTTTCCAGCGAGGAGGTAGCAAATTTAAATTTTTAAGAAAGGTGGGTATAGCCATTCTCTACCGAATATCGGCTTCTCGTGTTGTCTTTTCTATGCAAGTATCGGCTCGGAACTCGATCTTGCTATGGGAAAACGGAATTAAGGTATTTGTTGGAAATTTATGAAACTTTCACTTTTTAGGATTTGCGAAAAGCTGACCGAACTCTTATTGGCCGCCCTGCCAAAGGCTGAAGATATTCGGGAATCTCGCCTTATTCTGGACTGTGTCGCGGCCTTGGTTCCGTATTCGGAGGTAGGATTTGAACGTGAATATCGATTTAATATCTAGGTTCACAACCTGCAAAATAAGCTGAACGTCGCACCAAAAGAAGAGGGTTTTTACGAGCGTCAGATACGGCTTTACCTCAATGATTCGTTGACAAGGTGGATAATTGATAAAACTTTTATAAAAATAAGGTTTTAGGCTGTGGAGCCCAAGCCTCGACTCGAGATCGCCATTCGAGCGCGAGCAGCGGATTCCGACCGACATTCTCCAGAGCCCCTACATTCAAGTGGTGCTCGAATTTGGCAAGATTTTAGAGGATAGTGACCAGGTGCAGGTAGAAATAAAAAACTTTAACTAAAATTCCATTACTTTTTCAGATCGAAAATCACCTCGCCGGCACGAAAGCCGAAGCCACAAAGTCCGAGCTTCACCAGAACGCCTACAACTATTGCCGACGATTGTACGAGAATAGAAAAATGCTATAATGCTTTTGTGAATTTTGCTTTTCGGTTTGATCTCATTTCTTGATTCTAGATTTTAGGCTTTTAGCTGCCCAATTTTAGCATTTGTTCTTGTTGATCCGTTAACGTTGTCTGTGACTTTGTTTTGTGTAAAGAGCAATAAAAAGGCTAACAAGTTAAAAGACTTTATAAACTGTATTTGCAGTGACGGTATAAATTAGAATAAGTTAAGGAGTTAGCAAGGTTGCTAGTGATTGATGACATCGGGGGCAGGATTTTGGGACGCTATTGTCGTCGTCAGTAGGGGGTCCTCATCGGCGGGGACGTCAATTTTGTCTAATTCTTCTTTCAGGCGAACGATCACCTAGAATTTGATATTTAGTTGACTTGTCGTTTTCTGGGTTCAAAATGTTGTCCCGTTAATAAAGGGTAATACGCACCTGCGGCGAAATCTTCTGAATAGCCGGGCCAACTATGCCCGCAATTTTACTCCAAGCGTCCCCATCCTGTTTCGTCGTCTTCTCTTCAATCGCCGACACGGCCGCATTGAAGTACCGGCTTGCCTGAAACAATTCCTCAAAAAGCAAAAAGTCTGGGCCGAACCGGGATTCGAACCCGGGACCTCTCGCACCCGAAGCGAGAATCATACCCCTAGACCATCCGGCCACTGGGGAGGGGGCTGCTGGGGAGAGGCTATCTGGGGAGGCGGGGCCTGGGTGGGCGCCGCTGGGCTTGCTGTGCCCATCGCGAGAAAAGGTGAGTCAACAAGAAAAGAGAACGCTGAGGGACCCGGAAAACCGTATTTTTCGTAAATTAAATCGTAAAAATAGCGGATTAAGTTTCAGCATAATTTCTCTATTTTTCTAAGTGTTTTTAAAGCGAATTTTAAGGTCAGAACCGAATCCGGACGTTCAAAAGTAGGTATGTATCTTTTGTTCGATTTTCTAAATATTTTCTCCCTTGTAAAAGCCCATTTCTCCGAAATCAAAATACTGAAAATAGTGCGAGAGTTTCAGACATTAAATTAATGTTTTTCTTGATGTTTAACAGGAAGTGAAGGCTAGAGTAAAATTAATGGCGAAAACTGGAGGTGATTTTTGAGCGTTGTATTGATTTTTTAGTAATACTTTTAATACTTAAACCTAACATACCTTATGACTCAAATCCTCGAGATCAATCGTGGGGAGCGTAGAATCGGCGTCAGCTGGCTTGCCAGCATCCGAATCCTCGGCCAGCTCGTCGTTTAGGCGTACGATACTTGGAGAGGGTTGCGTCACCTAGGGGTTTTATTAAAATTTAGAGACGATTGATAATATTTTAATTATCCAATTTTCTACCTTTTTGATCGGGGAAACCGTCGTCTCCGGGTCGAGCCAATTTATCTGAATCTTGAAGGGAATGGGGGTGGTGCCGAGCCCGGATCCGGCGGCCGGGTAGGCATTATTTGCAGGAGCCGAATCTTTGGTTTGAGGCTAGAATAAAACTGATAAATGTTAAAATTAAAGGGTAAACCTTGAAAACGAATAGCGGGTTGGCGGTTGTTTGATTTTGTTTGATTTGATGGTACCAGGCGGGGACTTTGAAGTCTTTTAGGCCTTCCTGAAAGTGGGAGCTTGAAAACCGGCCAGTTTAAGCAATAAAAATAATTTTTTATGACTTTAAGAGGCACGAATATATAAAATTAAGTTAATTAACATTGAAATCAGGTTAGCTGAACCTTGAATAGCTGTCCTCTAGCTTTATGAACTAAGTTACCGAAGCTGCTGTCGTCAACTTTGGGGGGGACCATTGGAAAAGTTTAGGCTTGGCAGTGACGGCAGTCGTTGCAGACTAAATTCCCAGTTTTCGACAATAATATCGAAAAACCTGCGGGATCAACGTCGGCAAAGGGGTGTTCCTCTGTACGAGCGAATTTTTCGACACCGGCTGATCCATGTAAAGCGCGTTTGGGATGGGCCGGGCGCCAATAACCATTTTCTGGTTGAACCCCGGGTTTCTTGTAGTGCCGAAATCGCTAAAATATCTCTTAAATCTAGTTTTTATTAACTTACTTGAACCTGCCCTTCGTGATGACGACGGGAGGGGCAAATTGGGGTAGCTGGATGGAGGCCGGGGTGGGACGCTTGATAAAAACGGTTCGGATGCGGGCCTGCCGACGGATGGCCCGATGCGTCGTGGTTGGGATCTGGGAAGAAATTGCGGGAAAATGGGCCCAGGATCGAACCCGGGCGGTGGAAGAATATTTTTCCGGTTCCGTACTACGAGAAATCACCAAAATTTAGTTTTAGAAAATTTATAGTGCTAATTTTTCATTAAAACGGCATAGGGTTTTTAAAGGCAAATTTAAAGCTTGTGGCGTGTTATGATATTCATTTTATCGTTGTAACCAATTTAAAACATCAACAACTATTCTACCCCAATCCCTTACAATAACCCCAAAAAGCAAAAAAATTCTTCCGTTGCCGGGAATCGAACCCGGGCCTTATGGGTGAGAGCCATAAATCCTAACCACTAGACCACAACGGAGGATGGTAGTGGGGTGAGTTGACGGGGTTATCTTTATCAAGGTATCGAGTCCCTACTGTGGACAGGATTGACAGCCCAAAACTGTCAAATCATTCTCTGAGCCTCACCTTTTTCATGTTCTCGCGTATCTTTTCTTCAAACGAGTTCTCAGCAGGGGTTTTTGAGGGTGAAGCAAGCGGCTCGGAGGGTAATCCCTTCTTTTTCAGGTCCGACATGGTGTTTTTGAGGGAATATCGACATTGCACGGGGTATTCCGTGTTGAGCAGGACCTAAAAAATGTTTGTTTTAACGGCAAACAATTTCAAAAGCTCGAAAATCGCTATCAATTTTGTTTTTTCGACGTATCATCAGCTATGTAGGCCCTTCAGTCCTATGTTAGATTAGCTTAGAATTTAAATTTACGTTTAAAATCACCTGCTGCATTTGCGAATAAAATTGGGCAGCCTCGATTCCGCACTGACTCTCCAGCCGCAGTACCGTACACACGCTCACGTCGGATGCGTCAACTTTCGATAGACATCTCGTGTCACTGGGGTGGCATTTTGTGCTGAAAACATGGAAAAATCGTTGGTTTCATAAATGGCCAATAAGATACAGCAGATTAAGACCAAAATCTAAAAATAAAGCGCTAGGGGATTTGTAGTAGATGCAAGCTAACCGACCCCTTTAAGACTGCGAAAACTTACCGACAACTAGCCAATTTCTTTGCCATAAGCCCTGTCTTTTCGCATAAACCATCCATCGGTTTATTCACGACCTCGTGAATGCACGGGATTCGGCGGAGGAAGATTTTCTGGCGTTGAAGTGAGAACGGGGCGCAGAGGTAGCTGAAAAAAAATGGAACCTTATATCTAATTTTCCTTAATTTACAAGGGTAGCAAGCAGAGATTCATGTGGAATAATTTATGACTTCATATCTATTTGTTAAAGAATCTCTGCTAGATTGCCCTGTAAAAGGCAACAGCTGTAAAAAGACGAAAAGAAGGTAAATCGATACCTATACATTTGCTTCCCCTTTTCCAGCGCATTTCGCTGCGCCCTGGTTCCGCAAAGCGCCAATCGTTGCTCGAAACAGGGAATAGCATTTTGGTAGGCTCTAAAAGAATAATTTTTACAATCGGATGATAGGGATTATTATTATTTTGAAACTAAACCTTTACCGGCAAGTTTTGAGCAACATCGCTTCACTGGTAATGTTCAAAATGACGCTCATCACATTTGAATCGAAAGGGGCACGTTGGGACAGGACCGGAAAAGGGTAATTTGAGTAAATTCCATGATAAAAATACGTCTAGGCAATTTTGGGATTACCTGTGACACGCAAGTCATGTATTCCGCCGGCATACATCCCAACGTTGCGGTCACTGAAAATGCGGAATAGAAGCAAAGCTGAATCCTACCTAAGGTTACGGTAGCGAGGAGTATCCGCATTTACGCGCGCGGGACCCTGAATAAAACTATAAAACTATAAAACGCCAAAAATCCAAAAGTCTGGAGATAAATACGCTGAAAAACTGAATAGAAAAAGTGAAAATTGAATTTTCGGGGCTTTAGAAAAATCTAATTTTTCAGCCTTTTGTTGGCTCGAAATGATTCGGTATTACAATATCGACCATTTTAAAGGGAAGGACAAGCTACGGAAAAATAGCTTTCGTAGTTGTCGTAAAAATCGTACTTTCACGGTCTTTACGACGTCTTAAAAGAGTCTGCAGTCCAAAACCCCGGCTTTTAAAGGGACTGGCCGGTATATTCGGTATCTCTGGGGGTGGAATGTTGGGGGCACGGGTATGTGGGGATGTGTCCCCGCGTCAAAAGTGTCAACCCGGCTACCCTGACCGCCCCATGCCAACATCATCGTCAGCACATCATCAAGCATCGTGTGTGTGTCATGAGGCGGCAAAAAACTACAGTAAGCGATTACCACATAAAAAACTAAAATTGTTCACGATCTTGCCAGATCAGATCCTCAAAAGGTACAGTATGACCGGCAAAAATCACACTATAAATCTACTCGGAATTAGAAGCATCACCAAATAAACCGAAAAAGCCTCGTTCCGAAAAATGGATATTCAGGGGGGCTATCTAGCTTTAGAATCGACCGGTCTCTTCGACTAGCCCTCGACAGCTACGAGACACGCGAAACGGCGGTCAAAAACCACGATGGTGTTGCATTTTGACGTAACTACACCTTTTAGGGCCAGTGTTAGCTATCATATAGCTATAGATGAATTACCTAGATTAAATTTACTTTAAAGGTACTCGAGTGTCAAGGTCTATTGGAAACGCAGGTGGATTTTGGGATTTACCAATCCCTCTTAAGCCACGAAATTCAGCGATTCTGACACAGCCCGATTCTGATGAATAACGACGAAATAATACCTAGTAGACCGAGACGATCGAATCTGGCAGTTTCTAGTCCCGTGAAAAACCAGAAAAAGCCCAAAATTACCCGTTTGGCTGAATTTTATACAGAACGAGATAAACACCTTTCAAAA